TATTTAAAATTTAAATTAAAAAAAAAATCCACTCACTTTCTCTCTTATGATTTTCATTTTTTGTGTCTATCTCTCTCTTAAAATGACATAACTTATGTCATTTAAAATGACAAACATCAAACTCTTATTTAAATAGCTTAAAGTGGGAGATTTTTGATTTATTCTAATCCCATGGGAACTACCATTGACACCGATAGATAACCTTTTCAATTGTGTTTAGGTAACTCCACCCCATTACGGAAAGCTTATTTATATGAGAAACAATATAAAATTGATTTAAGATTAGTGTCAATTACATATAACTCAGTATGCGGCTACACTGGTTGAGATTTGAAAAGATCTCTAACCAATGTCCTTCGCCATTCACCAAGTTCAATTTTGCACTTGGATACAATTATCTTGTACCTCTGAATTTCATCTCTTCACAAACGACAAATATTTTATATGACATTCGAATAACGGCTCTTTGACTAGTTTTGTACTTTTTCCTTTTAAATAAACAAATTTAGTGTTTGGACGGAAGATATTACCGTTTGGGGTCTTTAAGTGCCACGAAGGAGACCCATCATATCTAAATGATGTCCAGGACTTCCCGCAGCACTAATGTAATTTTTTTTCTCTCTCTAACCCTGTGTCGCCCCTTATCCCCCACGACACTCGTAAATAATTTTTTTTAATTTAAATAAGTGCCGCACTGTCCCCCATACGGCATTAAGCCCCTAAATATTTTTTTTATTTAGATCAGTGCCGCCCCGTCCCCCATACGGCACTAATGTAATTTTTAATTTTCTTTTAAACCCCAAATTTTTGAATCACCGTTTTGAACTTATAAAACAATTTTTATAAGAGTAAATACTATTTTCGGTCCTTAGCAAATTTCACGATACCCGCTTTAGTTCCTAGGAAATAAAAAGGCTATTTGTGGTCCCTAAGAAATTCAAAGTGAATCCATTTTAGACCTTTTGAGAGACTAATGTGGGTCTTTTTTGAATTTGTGAGGGATCACGATTTTAACTAAATGGACCCATTTTGAATTTCTTAGGGACACAAATAGTCTTTTTATTTGCTAGAGACTAAAGCGGACATCATGAAATTTGGTGAGGACCAAAAAGGGTATTTACCCTTTTTATAAATGAGAATCATATCGTCGAGCTGGAGACAGAGAGGGTTTAAGGTTAGACGCACGACCAAATCGGAGGCCACCGTTCATCGGAGCCACCTTCGCCGTCAACCACCATACCCTCTATCATGTTGGGTTGCTGGTTCCCTTCAATCCCCGTTTCCTTTCTCTGATTCTGATTCTTCTCTGAATCTATTTTTCTCTTCTCAGTCTTTACCAAACCCAACCCTCTCTCACACTTTGCCTCTATTGATTTTTCTATTTGCTGGATGAGCTATTCCTCTTAAGCTTACCCTCCCCAACATGTATCGTTCTCCCTCTCCATTTATTTTCTTCCTCATGTTTTAATTTCTATGTTTTCCATTAAAATAAATATTTCATTTCCCTTTCTAATTATTTATTTATTGATTGATTATTTGGAAAGGAACAATAATATCATGGTTCAACGAAGCTTCCGGCGTATGCTCCCAGAGCTATTCTGAAGTCTCATTTATATGAAGATTCAGCTTGTGTCCGTCAAACATTTACCAATAATGTTAATTTCGTAAGTTGTAATCCTTCTTTTCCTAAACCTTTTGGTAGCCCTTGTAGTAATTTATTTCATAATTTGTCCTCTTTGTCTGGGAGAGAGAGTAAAAATTGACCCAATATTTTGTAAAATAAAAAGCGAAACTTAAACTTGACTTGTTTAGTTGGTTTATAATTTAGAGAAGAATCCAAGTCAGATAAAGGAAACGGGGACTAAAGGGAACTAGCAACCCAACATGATAGAGGGTCCGGTGGTTGACCGCGAAGGTGGCTCCGATGAACGGTGACGGAACTATGGCCTCCGATTTGGTCGTGCGTTTGACCGTAAACCCTCTCTGTCTCCAGCTCAATGATATGATGATTTTCATTTATAAAAATTTTGTTTTATAAGTTGAAAACAGTTATTCAAAAATTTGGGGTTTAAAAAAAAACTAAAAATTACATTAGTGCCCTATGGGGGACGGGGCGGCACTAATCTAAATAAAAATATATATTTAAGGGCTTAGTGTCGTATAAGAGACAGCGGGACAGTTATTTAAATTAAAAAAATTTATTTACGAGTGTCGCGGGGGATAAGGGCGGCACTGGGTTAAGAGTGAAAAAAAATTTACATTAGTGCCGCGGGGAGCCCTGGGCATCATTTAGATACGCTGGGTTCCCCCTGCGGCACTTAAAGACCCCAAACGTTAATATCTTCCATCCAAACACCAAATTTGTATATTTAAAGGGAAAAAGTATCAAACTAGTCAAAGAGCCTTCGAATAACCCCAGTGGAAGCAAGATTTATGGATGAGCTAGCAAAATAGTTTTGTTTGTGGGCTATTTGACCATTGTGTCCTTTTTTTCTCAAAATATGTACCACTTTGTTCCTGTTCCAAAATATTTCATCAATCTGTCACTGTTTGACCGTTGACTGACTCATATACTCGAGTACATGATCTGATACTCAAATATATTTCATATTTTGAGTTTGTTTGAACATTTACTCAAGTATAGGACCCAGATAATCGAGTATTTGTTGTTCCACGCAATATACTCGAGTATATGAGTCTTGTACTATAGTAAATGTTCAAAAATTTCAACGCGTAACTCTAGAAAAGTTATATGGAATAAAAAAACTACTTGAATCGGACACCTAAGTCAAAAGCTATGACCTTTCGAAGTTTTATTCTAAAACTTTCAAAATTTTGTAATATCAATAGTTTTTGTAATACCTACAAAGCTCCTCCTCAAGTTACCTAAGTCAAGTTCATAATATTATGAGTATATGACTATAAAAACTTATTTGATCCAAAAAATCTCGTCCAAAAAATATGGTCTTCCGAGTTTTTCGGTTAAATATTTTTTACGAGATTTTTTGGATCAAACAAGTTTCTATAGTCATATATTCATAATATTGTGGACTTGACTCGGGTAACTTGAGGGGAAGCTTTGTGGTATCACAAAACCTATTGGCATTATAAAATTTTAGAGTAAAACTTCGAAAGGTCATCACTTTTTACTTGGGTATCCGAATCATTTGCTTTTTTTTATTCCACATAACTTTTCGAGAGCTACGCGTTGAAAAATTCCCAGGAGAATTTTTTTGAACATTTACTCGAGTACATTACCCATATATTAGAGCATATTGCGTGGAATAGCAAATACTCGAGTATCTGGGTCTTGTACTCGAATAAATGTTCAAAAAAACTCAAAATATGAAATATATTCAAATATAAGGTCATGGTAGGTCAACGGTCAAATAAAGATAAATTGGTGAACTATTTTGGAACAGAGGAAAAGTGATACTTATTTTGATCAAAAAGAACAGAATGGTCCAAAAGCCTTTGTTTATGTTTCATTTATGTGTTATATTACTCTTATGTTGCATGAAATAATATAATTTTTTACAAATTTATCGATTTCTGTGCTTTTTTTTTTAATAAATAATAGGACCCACAACAACATGAGATAATATATCTCCTAAAGAGTAATATAACCTTTCATTTATATAAAAGACAAAAATATCAATTCATGAGGTTAATGCTCAACGTGGAAGGTCAATGGACCTTTACTATACCCGTTACATGTTACCAATTAATTATAAGTCCACTTTTTGTCAGGGGCCCGCAACCACTAATCCAGTAACCTTTTGATATCTTTTTGGTTTGTACCTTAGCGGGTTGTTAAATTGTTCTTAGAAAGCAACAAAAATAATCAAAATATAATTACAAAACGAAACCTCCTTGAATAGTTGAATTGAATAATACGGATTAAAATAATTGGAGATGCGGGGTATCGATCCCCGTACCTCTCGCATGCTAAGCGAGCGCTCTACCATCTGAGCTACATCCCCATATCGCGAGCATTCTGTTAACTTATTATTTGATTATTTCACAACTGAAAGAAATGATTCACTTATTTTATTATCTTGCTCTCTCAAGGTTTGATCGAATACATAGAAAATAATGTTTGATTCATTTTTTTTTATGGCTCAAATCTCTCAGGTTCGTTAAAGTACGATAACTTAAATGTGTATAAAAAAATATAAAAATATTTAGACTCGAATATATGTGTGCGCGTGAAAATCTAAGAAACGTAGCTTCCCTGCCTTGATTATTTAGACTCGAATATTAGATCAACAATTAATTTCTCTATGCATGGCATATTGATGCACTTTAAGATAAAAAGAAGAAAAAGTAATCAAACGGGTTGAAATGGAACCCTTTTCTTACCCAGAAAAATTGTATACAAAAAAAAAAAAAAAAGATCGCAGAAAATTGTTCATAAGTGAGCTAATCACGATTCAACAGCATTATTGTCTATTGAAGAATATCCATGTGGATGCATTAGAAATGGGCCAAATGGTCCAATAATGGACTGGTACGACAAAAGAAACATATGAATCATGGAAAATTTATCATCTACCAAGCTCTTGACGCGTTTCGGCTTTTAGGGCCGGGTAGTGATGTTGAAACAAGGGTACGGTCCATAATGGTGGCTCCATGTATTATTGTCGTTGGTACCACACTATTCTTCAGCTCTTATATCACTGATTGCGATACTATTAAGCATTAACCGAAAACCATACTCGTCCTTACATTAACGGTTAGTTGATAGATACTACATCCTCGATTACGTGTAACAATTTGAATGGAGCCAACGAAGGATAGCGGAATTGATATTCATATGAATTATGCCATTAGCCTTGACAAGGACACTTGTGTGATTATTATAATATATTTAAATTTAATTCCTAGTTCTTAGGATTAATTACTTAAAAATTACCAAGTGTATTAGTTGCATCGGAGGCTGTGCCAATTCCAAATACAGAAAATGGAAAGGGGAAGGGGAAGGAAAATAAACATCAATTAAGCACAAAACCATTTGATAACTTGCATATTTATTTCATATACTTAGATGGCCTGCTATCAAATAAGTAAGCAGGGGAGCAAAGACAGTTATCAAATCACACGAACTTCAAATTTAAAACTTGCTAGCAAACATATCCTTATACAGCAGAAAAGAGGGGCATGGGATAAATTTTATGCACATTGAACTGGATTATCCCAACCGTTACTCTTTCCAAGTACTTCACTTGTACTCCAGGATCATGTTGTTCTCAGGAGCCAATCCAACACAAGCTCTCAGGATGTTTTCCAGCATAGCTCGCTGCTTTGACAATGCATTCACCACTGGTGTACCTGGTGGGACCTGTGATTGGTGCCCTCACAACAATTAGTTATGTTATCTAACGAGTATTCACCAACCTTTGAGAAATTTATAGGTGTAGGACCTAATGTGGGGTAAATGAGAAATTTCACTGAACAATAATGAATCAATTGCATTAGACTTACAAGTGGGGCCTTGGACAGGTAACTGAGGATGGTTGCCACAGGGTGGAATGAGTGAAACTTGTCCTATAATTAAAAACCACAACACAATAGTGTGTCTCAGAAAAGCTGAAAATAAGACAAGTGCTTGTACATTTTTAAAGAAGATAAATGATTAAGCAACAGACAGAGACCTCATGTTCAGCTTTAAATTGGATTCGAGTGCTAAGCTCAGCAAGAAGGACCAAGTCCAAGATGATAGGAGCTGCTAATAGTGAATCCTCACATGTGTTGTGCAACACGATTGTGTTGTGTCCACCCATGAATATCTCTGAAGTGTACTCATCCATGGCTCTTTTGCTGTCCCCCACATATGGCACATACTGCAAAAGCAATAAATAAAACAAAGAGAGTCAAATAATTACCAACAAATAGAGAGAGAGAGAGAGAGAGAGAGAGAGAGAGAAAGATGGGTGAAATAAAAATTACCTTAATAACGACGACATGGTCTGGATGTTCACCAGGCTTATAGAGTATGGCATTGCTGTTGACCATATCATCAACAACGTTGCTCTTGGAGATTTCCTTAGAGCGGAAGGTTTGTGGTGCTGAGAGATTCATACCATCATTGTTTCCCAGATGATTGTAACTCACTATTGATGTTGGCTGTGTGTGTCACTCATATTGCACCAACACAATTAATAAATCAATTTCTCCTTTTGTGTGACCATAATATATATATATATATATATTTTAATTAAACATACAAACAAATTAACAAATGATAGTATATATAATTAAATACATAAAAAAAAGGTACCTTGATACCAGCCCCCACAAGGAAATCCACCAACACAGATTTCATTTTGGTCTGGCCACTCTTAAAATCATCTCCACCAATCAAACTGTTCCTCTTGATGGCCAAATCAATCAGCCCTGATAACAACACAAGCAAAATTTACAAATTTGTTTTTAAAATTTGTAACGCCAGCAAGTCACAACCAATTTTGCATAAATAAAATTAATTTTAATAATAATAAACCTGGGACAAAGGTGTTCTGCGGGCTTCCATTAATGAAAGGAACATTTTCCAAAACACAAGCCAAGCCATACAAGGTGGAAGGTGAAATCTCAGCCTCATTCCTATCCAATGAAGCCATGAGGTTTTCCATGGTGTCGTTTAGTCCCACAACCACATTGCTGTACCTCTCTGTGTTGGCAGTCCACAGGACAACGACCCTGTCAACCTTCGTGGCTTCCTTAAACTCCCTGAATTCATACCACACATAGGGTAACAGATTCTGTAAGTTTCCAACTGATTAATAATAAGGTGCTAGAATTAACGTTGGACTCACTTAATGTCTTTGATGATTTTTTGAACTTGTTCCTTCTTTGTGCCCTTGATGACGTGGTTGGCACGGTCTCCTTGGTTGGCAGCAATGAAATCCGGGTCATAGATTCCTGGGAGTGGAACCATGGATTCCATGTAAGGCCTCAACTGTTTCTGCAGGTCGATGTCAAAGACCTTGGCTCTGGCCATGGCATCAGCCAGGTTCATGTCGCTGATATCCCATCCCCCAAACACAATATCATCAGGGTTTACCTGCATAAATTAACACTCATGTTCATGACGTAGTTCAAAAAGAGAACTATAATTTAACATTCTTTATTTCTTTTTTTCCTTGTCGCATTAGAATTAAGAGTTCATGTTAGTAATTTAGATAAATTAGCGTTATTAATCTCACATAATCATTATTTATTTTTTTCCTTTTCTGTCAATGACCCACATATTACTTTGTGCGTCTTGTCAGTTTTTTTTTTTCTTTTAAAGAATCATTTCTTTAACAATTAAGTCAAAGGACAAAGCTATATATAAATATTAATTAATTATGAGAAAATTGTGTATCATTCTAAAAAATATAAAATTGAGAGTCTCGTCTCTTTGTAAAAGTGAAAGGATATAAATTATGGTATAAACATTTTTTCCATTAATTATTTCTTTTCAAAAGGAAGAGAGGCGTGGGGTCCGTGAGGGATTAAAAAAGAGATTGTATACCATTGGAAGCAGGCTCTTAAATGGTGCATAGATTTCCTCTCCTTGGAAAGACCCCACTCTGATAGCTGATGCCTGGGTCAGCGAGCCAAAGTAATTGGCTTGTTGGATCTTGTCCTTTGTTGCCCATGAAATACCCCTGAGAGTCACAATCACAACATGTTCACCCAGAATTCTAACCATGCATAGCCACAACAATAATAATAATAATAATAATAACGGATAGGAAGAATGAAACTCACTCCCGGTTAGCAATAACACCACCGGTGAGGGTTGAACCATTGTTTCCACCCCACCCCACAAGCATTACCCTAACAAACAACAAAAAAATAACCACATCAAAAAAACATTAAAACAACAAAAAAAATTAAAAATACTTTCAAATAGAAAAGAAAAGGGGGAGGACATGAGAACTAACCCTAGTTTGGGGACATGGGTGTTGGTTTTAAATTCATATTTGACAGTCTTGGGCTTGACAACCCATTGATATGTGTCATTTCTGTTTTCATGAACAAGTTCAGTGGTTTCGTAGCTGTACACGGACTGAATCTCAGTCTCTGTGTACTTCACGTTAGGACTCTCAACCTTGAAACTCTCGATGAACATTTTTGTTTCTTCAAGGAAAAATAGTCAAGAGAAACTGAACAACTCTTTACGAGAGGAAGAAAGAAAGCGTTTTTTTTAGGAGGAGGATTGTTGGGTGCAGCTTTACGTAACTGAGGCAAGCTCTATATATAGAGGAACCGCTATTGTGCTCCCACACGTGTCAGAAAATGTGTGGCTTCGAATCCCAACCTCATATAAGAAATATTGAAATTTTTTAAAGTGTTTTCCTTTTCTTTCAAAGTTATAATGTGATTGTGAATTACTATGGTTATGAACCTAATATAAACGTCAAAAAGGGCAAACAGGTAAGGGATGTTAAAGATAATTAAGAAAAAAATTAATTATATTAATTTTAATACGACAATAATGAATCGGCCATAAAAAATAAATAAGAAATATGGAAGTTTTTAAGTGTTTTCCTTTTCTTTGAATGTTAATATGTGAATTATTATTACTTTTTACTTTAACTGAAAAACAAAATACTATAGCTCCCTTTTTTTACTAATAAAAATTTATGACGACAAAACACTTTCCCTAGTTTAATGAGAGGACAAATCACCGAATTGATTTACAGCAAAATAAAAGGTAGCTTGGCTAATGCATCTAATGCACCGACATTTCAAAAAATTTATTGTGTCGTGTTTTATATTTTTTGACATTTTCTAATACTCTAACACACATTGCAAAGACTCAAAAAAGGGGTTCAAAGATTACATTGCATTGCGTTTTTAGTTCCAATTATTAAATTTGTTGGATTACGATTACCATTTTATTGAGCTTAATATAAATATTTGTAATAACTGATGTTTCTTTGCAAAATTGATGAATATTATAAGTTTAGCTTAATTTTTTTGTTAAATTATTAAATAAAATATACACCGCATAAATTAAAAATATTGTTTAATATCAAAACGTGTTTTAACGTGTTGAAATCTAATACCTTTCAAAATTAACGTATCAGAGCATCGCGTCGTGTCCCGTGTCCTATATCGATGTCGGTGCAACATAGATGCGCACAATACCAGTTAGTGCAACATAGATGCGCACAATATCAGTTAGTCATAAAAATAAAACAATATTTGAATTATATAAACATTTTTTTATTGGAGGTTGTTGCTCTTACACATTTTATGTCCATTTTGGATTTTGAATTTAATGTAATTTAGAGCAAATATGATTTGTTAATTGCGTTTTGATTTAAAATTTAATTTAATTTAGAGCTGATAAGAATTGTGCATATTTATGTCTATTTTGAATTTAATTTAATTTAGAGGAGATAAGATTTGTTGATTGCATTTTGATTTAGAATTTATTGTAATAAATGCATTTTGTTAGGGTGTTTAATTTTGAGTTCGTTTTGTCTGCAGTTAATGCAAATAAGTTATCTGCATTGAGCTCAAAATAACATTGTTTTGAGACGAAAATCAAAGTATTTTTGTAATTTTAATTTATTTCAAGGTTATAATAGTCTTTATAATTATATTTTTTTAATATTTCAACAACAAAACGACGTCGTTTTGAGAGTAACTGCAGATAACTTATCTGCAGTAACTGCAAAAATATTTTTCTGTTTAATTTTATGAGTTAGTTACAGTTTATCGCCGATTCAAAATTATTTTTAATTTATAATTCAGGAGCTTATTTATGGCAACATTCCAATGAAATGAGTAAGGGTATAGATACCAACTTTTTTCTTTTTCTACTTTTATCCTTTTATTCGTTAGTTATTTTGTTATTCTTTAATTTGTAATTTATATCCTTATGTAGACTTCTTTTTAATAATAAAAATAACTTTAATTTCATAAAACTTTTAATATGCCATAAATATCATTATAGCCATTTTGGTTAATTAATTTTTTAGTAATATTTATCTCTTCAATGCCTTTGGTATCCTTGAATTATTTTTTTGACAATGTTTTATGGGAAAGGTTATATGTACAACCTATTTTCGTTTACAACTTCTTACGATCATATCTTAACTGTTGATTTCCGTCAATCAATGGTTAAGATTTTCGCAAATCAAATTTATTAATTAATTATTAATTCACAATAAATAACAACCATTGATTAACAGAAATCAATGGTTAAGATATGATTGTAAGAGTTTGTAAACTATTTGAATTGTAAATATAACTCCTCCCATGTTTTATGGGCATTTTTTAGTAAAATATTAGCCAATTTTTTTAAAAAATTTTATAATTTGCATTTGTGCATAATGTCTCTCCAACAATAAAAATAACTTTGATTCATAAAATTTCCCATACACAAAAAACATTTAACTTCATTGTCGTAGTTGATTATATTTAAGGGTAGTGAGAGCATGTGAATGTATCTTAAGGCATTTATTGGATTCTATTAATTTTTTTAACTACTCAAAAATTATAAAATAATTTCTGAATTATTAATGCATTAGATATTTCACTTTTCTATACTTGTTATTTTTAATTTCTCGATTTAATAACTTAGCATTTTCGAATGAGTATTTTATAACACAATAAAATAAGAGATTTACTAGATTGCCTTAAGTACTAACTAAAAGATCACAAAGGAAATATATTAAATAAAAAGATAAACATTGAATATATTAATATACTAAAAGTATTCATTACTTTAAAAAAAATTAAATTACTTAATATAAAATACTATATATTTCTATCTTTAACATACATATTAACAAGTTTCTCAAGACATCAATATTTAAAATAAATACATAATCATATTAAAAAATAAAAAAATACCAGAATAACTTTTCGAAATGAATTAGGTTGCTATGACATCTTAGTTCATATTTTATTAGTTCCTTATTACCTTATTTGATTCTTTTAAAAGGCCTAGTACTTTCGTATTTTTTATACTATCTTACTGAATATATTTTTTTATACATTTATATTGTTTTAGTAATTCCACCTCGGAGATAATAAAGGTTAAAGGTCTCATTAAATATATCTATCTAAGAATCAAATTGTTGATCATGGGGTCGCAATTTTTTATCAATAAAACATTAGACAATTAAAAAATATTGATACTTGAAATAAGAAAAAAGAAAAATGTATATTGGAAAAAATTCTTGAAATAATTAAAACTTTGGCAGATCTTGATTTCGACAAAATTATATCGTGACTGGAAGACAACTATATTTATAATGTTAAATATTTGAATTTTTGAGTCTTCATTTTTAAAAGAAATTTATTATATCATTAAATCGAAAATATTATCATATAAATTGCGTTTAATACATAGGTTGAGTTACATGACAATATTTTTGTTGTTTGTTGTTTGATGGAGAAATACATAAAAATATCAATTTTATAAATAATATAAAATAAAGTTTAATACACTATCACTTGTGTTATATATTATTTTATATGTAATAAAATTGTAATAATAAAGATTTTTTACTTTTCTTTCATGAACAAAAATATTTATAATATTCGAATAATAAAAAAAAATATAATTTTTATATCTTATTTTTTTAACCAGGGCTTATATTAAAATAATAGATTAAAACATGATTTAAAATGTGTTTACTTTTTTCTGGTTCAAAAGAAAAGTGGTTACTCTTTTCAAAAAAGAAAAAAAGAAAAAAAGAAAAGAAAAGAAAAGAAAAGTGGTTACTCGTGGCAGCAGAATGGAGCGGCCAAGTGTGTGTTGCTTTTAGTGCTGAGGATATGAGGGGCCCAACTGTGAAAGGAAGACGCTCGAAGGTTAACTAGACCAAAACACTGAGCGTGACTCTTGACCGGACCCAATAACGTGACCGACGAGGGAGCATTTTGGACTGCTCTGCCTCCACGCTCCATTGTCTTTCGCGTGTGCACACGCTCGGAAATTGTTGGTTGGTTAAGCACTGACAAGTGTCCTACGAACACGTGGTACGATCTGAATAAGTGCGTGAGTGGGACTGATGAAAAGAACTTGGAAGGTGACACTTTTGGAAAAATGCCAAGTAGGACCTCCACCTCGTGACCCTTTTTTTCAAACCGTTCTCTGTTCTCTTCGTAATAGTAATTTTCGCATCGTTTGAATATTTTTTAAAAATATTTTTTTTAAAATAAAAATAAAATAAAATCGGTTTGATAATATTTGTTTTGTAAAAAGAATTAAAAATTGTAACTATTTTTTCCTTTTAGAATCAAATTTAGAGAATATGTTTGGGTCATTTTAAAAAAACACATAAAAAATACTTGTTTCTATAATTATTCTGTAAAATAGTTTTAAGAAAAAAAAATCAAAACACACCCAATCAGACCCGATTTTTGGGGAAAATAACAGTTCCCTTCTTGTTTTTCATGTAGGACCATTTTGCATGCATCAGTTTATTTTAGAGATTAGTGTTTTTCTTTTTAAAATATATAAAATTATGTTATATTAGTCAAAATATAATATTTTATGGTGAGATAAAATGTTAAATAATAGAAAGTGGGAGGTCGTTTCTTAATTTAAATATTAAATAGAAAACTTATTTTAATTAAAATGACTGTACTTTAAAAAAAATATTTTTTCCCTTTATTTTAACTATTAATTATAAATGAATAAAATAATTACTTTGAAAATATAATACTTATATAACTCTAGAAATTTCTTCGTTGTCTTTTTATGTTTTATGCGATCTCCCACATGGATAACTATTTTAAAAAATTATTAGAAAAACATTAGGGACACGTTTGACAAAAATTCGAGGAATTACTAGTTGGATGGCCGGGAGTTTTATTATATGAAATTATAATACATAGTATCAAGAAAGCACGGACACTTGTAAAAACAGAGAGAGTCGTGTTCGACACGCTCCGACACGGTGTCGAACACGCGGTCAATTTTTTTCGACACGTTATCCATTTAATTGTTGAATGTTTAATAGGCTTAAACAGGTCTAAACCAAGACTTTTATTTTTTGAATATAGGTCAGACCAGACTTGTAATTTGGAACATACACAGACTAATAGGCCAGACCATACCCAATGTTTTTTACACAGATTTAACCTATTTAAGCCAAAGCCTAGCCCAATGTTACCAGCAAAAGAAAGAGAGGAGCTCCTACATGGGCTAAGGACTTTATAGTGGATGCTTAATTGCATTTTTATGAACTGAGGTACTGCATGTCAGTATTGTAGGAAGGGTATAATAGTCATTAAGCTGTCATAAGCTGTTAGATGAGGTGGCAGTTAGTTAGGAATTGTAGCCATGTGTCCAATTGGTGGAATGCATGAGGTTTAGTTGTCAAGTGTTAAAGGGGCAATTGTAAACAGAGAAGACTTCATTCTGAATAATATACACTTATGTGAATTCTTTCAATTCTTCTCTTGCTTCTTTGTTAGGGTTCTTACCTCTTAACACCCAACCCATTTACACCCTAGTTGCAATAAAGAAGCCAAAAGATAAATAGTTGACATGCAAAGGATACTGGAAGAAAGATGACATGTTTGTTTGCCTTTTTTCATTCAAACAATAAGGCATGTTCTACAACTTCACAATAAATATTTTATCCACACAGTCCTTTTAATTAAGTATCAATGCCTTAAATATATTAATCAATATTCAATAAGATGCAATGAAATGCAATTGACTCAATTAGTAAGATGCAATGGTTTTGATAAAAAAAAATATCTATAGTTCAACTAATGGTCCTTCATTAATATAACTCTTTTAAGTACCTTTTATCTCCCTATATTTGTTAAGAAAAAAGTGCAACGACATCCACGTTAAAGGATTATATGGTGAACGATTTGAGTCATTTTACTGAATAACGGAATTACATGTAAATCTTTAAAAAAATTATGAGGTAACTACAAACTAGTGTGGGAGCCACATGCACATAATTTGCGAAGTCTGAGGATTATTATTCGTTAAAATTTGACCCATTCAAAATCAAAATGCTTTGGGTATGATGAACGTGGGGTGGGGCTACTTATAGGATAGTAGTGGGACATACAGGATCTGTGTGGATGAGGATGTATAATATAATAGACTATGGAATTATTATTGTACTAATTGGTTCAAAACTGAAGAAAAAAATTACCTAACTTCACGTGGTGATGGTTATGCTTTAACGAGTGCTGTGTCCGATACTGCATCAAACTGCAGAATCTCTCACTCAACTTCCCTGCGTACCCCATGAATCGTCAACTAGCCAACACTCAAATGGAAGCAAACTTATCAACAAGTGTTTTTGGAAGTTTATGTTATTTAGGTCGACCCGATAAAAGTTTTTTCTTTTCTTTTTTTCCTTTTTGTTTTTGGGTGACACGCTTCCTCTCAAGTAGTCCATTTTTCTTTCACAACGCTTCTCAGCTTTATTGTCTCCCGAGGCTGACAGTAACGTTTTGTAACTTTCTCCTCAGCATTCCCCCACCCACCCACCCCCAAAAAAAAGTACTAACGATAATTTAAAATTTTGTTAAATACGCATTTGACTCAATACTAAACAATATGATTAAAATCCTTAAAAATATAATTTCAATTAATTATTAATATGAGGAAAAAAAATATTTCTCCTCTCAAAATATAAGAAATCCCAAAATGATATTGTGTTGAGATATCAGAAAAAAAAATACACAATATTTTAGAAATTTTGTTTCCATTTATTTTTGAGTTATAAGTTTCTCTTCTAGGAGCAACTCAAGAGAAACTTATACTCTTCCTACAGAAATAAAAACACATAAGACCCGCTAGATTAAGAAATAAGAAAATGCATTTGTGTTACACGATAAATGAATGGTTGTTATGTTAAGAAAAAGACAAGATAAATTTATTGATGGACATATTTTTTTAATATTATATATTTTATCTTTTTTTTAATATAACAACTATTCATTTATTATGTAACATGACAAATGTATTTTTCAAAAAAAGAATTAGCAGGATTTTTTATGGGTGTGCAGGAGGGGATAAAACATATCTTTTTATTTTTTCTAGAGATGACAATATGAATTAAATCTGATGGGTTAACCCGCCAACACAGGGCGAGTTATATTACAAATTTCAACTAACCAACCCATCTCAACCCGCCCCGTTAGGTTGTGGGTCCAAACAGGTCGGTGGCGGGTTGTTTCGTCGGATCAATTTTTTTTTTTTTACTATTACGTAATATTTTATTTGTCTTTAAGCTTTTGTGATATCTAATTTCTTTTACTATTAGATAATATTTTATAATAGTTCTAGTAAGATTTTAATGAAGTACATTATCTTATGGATATCCAAGAAGGAGTATTATAAACAATATCAATGTGTATGCCCATAACCCCTAAATTGTGTAACTTTTATAACCCCTATATGTTAATTATATGCAATTAGTGGAATTCATTTCTATCATATATTGTAACTGATTGGGAGCCTATAAATAGAGCTCAAATATACTCATATGATAGCCTTGTAATACACATATAATATGAGAAGATATTTCTCTATTTTTATCTTTTGTCTGTCTATATTTCTTTCTGTTACTTCTTATTTTATAACAGCAGGAGCATAAAATCAATTTTTGTGCTCACTTCGATTTCAGCGTCACAATTTTTTAAAATAAAATAAAATGGGACACACTAAAATCTTTCACTTTTTTCCTATAACATGACGGAATCAAAACCCAATAAATAAATTCTATTCATACAAATCATTATATAAAACTGATATAAACTAAAGCATTAATATTCCTTGTAAGAGATAATTTTAGGGTTATATATATACTCATAAGCATAAAAATATCTATACTCATAATGACTGATTCATCTCTATTCAATAATTCACATGATAAAAAAAACTAGAGTTGTTGGATATAATTAAAATTAATTATTAAAATTAAAAATATAATTTATATTGATATAAAATATAAAATATAAAATTTAGAGTTATTAGATAAAAGTGAAATTAACGATTAAAATCAAAATTTATTTAATTTTTTTTTTTTTTATAACAAAATCAAAATTTATTTAAAAAAACCTCTTTTGTGAATAAAGTTCATTGATAACCGATAAAAAGAGTTTTTTTTTGACTTATTTAACCTTTTTTTGTTTGTTTGTATAATGACTTATTTAACTTTGTTAAGTTAATAATCTGCTAAAGTTCAATGAAGCGGAGTACGGGCCATATTATGGTAAAACATGAAACGGCGTCGTACATACCATACAGTATTGCCATACTTTTCTCCTTCTTTGACTTTTTTTTTTTTTTTTTTTTTGGAATCTCGGTCAGTATCAAGCGATCAGTTTCTTCTCCTCCGAGTCTGTCCTAAACTTATACGCGACCCTTGTCAGTATCTTTCTTTGTTTTTGGTTTTGTTATTGATATTCTTTATATTTCGAAATTTACGCTGCACAGTAACATGGTTGAAATATTTCAAATTTGGTGATCCTATCTTCATAGTATGAGAATAATAATAGGGATTTCAATTTATGCGATTGTTTTGTAAACTTAGGTCCTTGATATCACCAATGACTTGTGATTAATTTGATTATCAGGAATATGGCTGCTACATTTTATTACCAACCTGCGGGACTTCATGGTTGGGGCATTGATGTCCCTTCCCCTGGATCTTCTAGAAAATTCGGGAGATTCCTCTCAACGCGTTTTGCGAAGCACAAATTGCATCCAATTCATGCGTCCATTTCTGACGACTCATCATCATGTAAGGAATTATTTTTCTGACAACTCTTTGTATTCAAAATTATAGACATACTGAATAAATTAGCAACTAACTAGTAACTCCTCTAACTAACTCAACTGATTTCTATCTAATGCTGATCCGTGGCAATCTGATTCTCGTTATTTAGATTGTGAACTATGTGTCAATACTGTAATCCAATTCTTTAGTGGTTTTGATTACTGAATAAACCAAAGGGTCTTGATGCTCTGCTTTATCTTCTCATTGGTGGGTGTTCTGAACTTGTTTTTATAGCTGAGAGTACTTTGATATTGATTCGTCATGGTGAGTCTTTGTGGAATGAGAAGAACTTGTTCACTGGATGTTGTGATGTGCCTTTGACCAAGAAAGGTGTGGAGGAAGCCATTGAAGCTGGTAAGAGGATTAGCTATATACCGGTTGATATGATTTATACATCTGCACTGATTCGAGCACAGATGACAGCTATGCTTGCACTGACTCAGCACCGCCAGAAGAAGGTAGTGAGCCTGTTTATATCGAAATTGCAAGTCACTTTCTTGAAGAAGATTCTTTGTGTAGAAAAATGCTACATCAGATTACAAGTTATGAATTTGTCAGTTAATGTTGCCCATATGCTTTTCATGCATGCAATTGGTATACTAAATAGTACTCTAAGGAAAAGGGCTTTGCTCATTTAGGCTAACATTCTTTTTTTTTGTTATACATATATCTATGTTGTATACCCAAAATCAAGCATGGTGGTTTTAGTCATCTGGTGCTTTCATTTGTATTTTGTTTATCATTCTTTCGTCTAATTGAAGTAAAAGGGAGAAACAAACTTATTGTATTTTCTATACCCACATAGTCGGTTTTGGTTTAATGAATATATTCAATAACTATTTGAACGATCATTGCTTGTGGCCTACTTGTAAGGAAAAACCATTATCTACACTGCAGAATAGATGTGTCTAACGATTCTTATTTTCATAAAATATAAAGAAAGTATGCTAACCATGAACTAGTCAGTAAATACTGGTATTTTGTATACTTGTATAAACTACAAATATTATTATAACAGGATTTCTTAACGAAATGTTCACTCTACAGATTCCTATTATCATCCATAATGAGAGTGAACAGGCAACAACTTGGACTCGAGTTTTCAGTGAAAAAACTGCTAAGCAATCAATTCCAGTTATAACAGCTTGGCAGTTGAATGAAAGAATGTATGCAGCTATTAATCTTTGCCTGTGTTTCTTGTTCACAATATATGTTCAATAAGTTTTAGAAGGATGGAATTATCCTTCTTTATTCTACTTCTACAGGTATGGGGAGTTACAGGGTCTTAATAAACAGGAGACTGTGGAAAGATATGGGAAGGAGCAAGTGCATGAGTGGCGTCGGAGTTATGATATTCCTCCTCCCAAGGGTGAGAGCTTGGAAATGTGTTCGCAGAGAGCTGTTGCCTATTTTAAAGATTTTGTAAGGGCGTTATTTTTCTTATTCCTTAATGTCAAAGTTTCGTAAATGTGATTTTGATATATTTGCTGGGGATTAGAACTTTTTCAATTGCTATTATATTTGATACTGAGAAGCATGCATTGTAGATTGAACCCCAACTAAAATCAGGAAAGCACGTGATGGTTGCTGCTCATGGGAACTCATTGAGGTCTATTATAATGTATCTTGACCAATTAACTTCTCAAGAGGTAGCATCCTGAAGTTCTTATGATTGCCATATTTCACCATCTCATTTTTGTTAATTTATTTTTTTGGTAGTAAATGAAATATGACTGGGATTGATCTCTACTTCTATGTTGACAAACAGGTCACTAGTTTAGAATTATCAACTGGGATACCGTTGCTCTACATATATAAAGAGGGGATGTTTATCAGTAGAGGAAGTCCTGTGGGACCTACAGAAGCTGGTGTTTATGCATATACTCGGGTATGATCCCTAAGTCTGGTGTTTACATGACATGACGTTATTGGTGAGCTAAAATTGGCACTGAATACTTCTCAATTTGTGAGGGTTGGGGGAGGGGGTATTTAGGAAACACAAAGACCTTCTACATATGTGATGGGATCATGGCTTAGTTTGTCAGAGTTTTTTTCTGTTGGCTAATTATCACCTGTTTTTGTGATCTGCATTTATTGCTCAGATTTTGTACTTTAATTATTGTTCCAATTTTTTCACAGTTATTGGAACTAAGTGACGTGCTAATACAAATCAGAATGATTTGGAATCTGTCAACGAGCTTGTAGCTCGATGGCACCGACCAAGCCTTTAAGATTTGGATGTGGTGATGATGTTGGAGGTTTGATCCTCCACCAGGCCTCCTATTTCACTCCACTACCAAGATGTTTGCACCTCCAATGTAACATTATATATATATATATATATATATATATATATATATATATATATATAATCTTACCAAGACTTATATAAGAAGGTCTCATAAGTCAGTTCATTTTTATTTTATTTTTTTTATAATTTTAGTCAGTTCATTTTCTTCTTGTTTTTTGTTTGAGATCTGGGAATCATCTCCATGTAATTAAAATAAGCAGTTTTCAGTTCAATTCATAAATCAAATTCACAGCGAAGCTTAATGTTTTCAAAAGGAACCTTAAACTTTACAACTTAGAATGCACATTTTTTATTAAATAATTGAATCTTAGCATATGAAGGACAATATTGTTTTCTATTAAGTAATGTACAGTTCCTCTTGAACTTTTTTTTTTGGTAACAAGTTCCTCTTAAACTTCACTGCTTCTGTTTGTGTTCAATTTTAGAATATTTTTGCTTGCTGTCAGATTTCCCTGGATGTCCCTTGATATGAGATATATAGCTGCGAACCTGGTTGTTGGCAACAACAATGATAGCCTAATGGAAAACTGTCTAATCTGATTCCTTTTGGGTTCAGGGAGATTTTTTTTGTGTTTTGGTTTTTCTTGAAGTAAGAGATGATGATATAGTTTGGTTTGGGATTCAGAGGATATTTGGGAGATAATAGCATCTTTTTCCTGAGTTTGTTATCTCTTCTTCTTATCTGATAATAACCATGCTTTGTGCTGCCATTTGTATCTGCAGAGCTTAGCTGTTTACAGACAACAGTTGGATGAAATGTCACATTGAATTTATTGATCCTTCTTCAAGTAAAAGATCAAAATGGTATGCTACAATACAGAGTGATGATTTATATTTTTTTGCATTCACGATAGTCTGATATATGGAATCCCTCAATAAGATAATTGATGTTGTCTATTAGACTGAATATAAGCTTGATTGATAAACTGAATTTTTATGACTGAGTGTGCTCATATATATTTGCAGGTATAATTAGCTATATTCATTTTTGGGTGGATGGCTTCGTAGTTTACTTTCTGGGTGTGGCCTTTCTTGAGAATTAATTTTTTCTTCTCGTACACCCTTCAAACCCTTTGAAGATTATCGGAAGGAGCTTATCAATACTTGACAGTTTCAAATCTGTGGTGGCGAAACATGGAAGCCCTGAATTTTTTCTGCACTATACAACTAGAAATGCAGTCTTGCCCCAAAACAGTTTTGGTTAGAGATGGATAGTGTAAAATAATATGGGTAATGTAAGTCTAGAATTTGATTGTGTCTGAATGGAAGTGGACTTATATAGGTATAATAGCTGACATGCCCATGTTTTTAGAACTCAACAGGGAGATGAATTTACGGTTGAAGAATGAAAACAATATAAACGAATCAAAATTTGTCAAAACAATTGTCCATTTGTTGCCTCTTATAATTCATGAGGTCCGATAGTAGTTTGGAAGGAAAAAAGAAGTCTTGGCTGGCAATGGAAAAAAAGAAGGTCTCACCTAGTCATTGACATCAAAAGACCTCATTACCTACCATCTTTTACTGATATAAATATCTTGTAGCATAAAAAAGACACATGCCTTAAAAAAAAAGGGTAAACATTTTTAATTTTGAATAATATAGCCGGTAGTCTCGCTGTTTAATTTCAAACTACAGACTGCGTTGTTAATTTGTAATCGGATCATAATTATAAGATATTCATTGCATATATATATATGAGTATGTAGTTTGTCCTTCAACATGGCATAACAAAATTTTCTACACACACAACATTTTATGGGACCCGCACTTTTTAAAGTAAAAAAAAAAATTAAGGCACGCAAAACGAATTTCTATAACATTACACAATCATTTTTCTTACAACATAACTCTTATAAAACCCTATATATATATATATATATATATATATATATATGTGGGAAAAATATTTCTCCGACAACTTGAGATAAGTTTATCTCCGGTCATCCCAAAATTACGTCGTTTTGTTTATTTATTTTTTTATATTAATTGATTCACCTTTGAATGGTTATGATTCTCTTTTTTTTTGTCTTCCTTCATTACCATTGATCCATCTTTGTACGGTTATGATTTAGTAGCCGGAGATAAAATTATTTTCGACACCTTGAGAAATGATAAGCCCTATATATATATATATATATATATATATATATATATATATAATATTTTTCATGTAGGAGATAAATTTATTTTTTATAAATACATAAAAGTATATATATATATGGATGTAATTTATTTCTCATATTTAATGCTTTCACTTTAAATATGGAAAATTATAACCATACAAAGATGGAAATAAATATAACCGTTGGATCAACATAATTGATCTAACGGTGAGATTGATTGGTAGTAACACAACTTGGTTATTACAATATCCTTTCCCTATATATATAGATGTAATATATATATATATATATATATATATATATATATATGGATGTAATATTTTTCATGTAGACGATAAATTTATTTTTTATAAATACATAAAAGTATATGAGATTTATATTTTCTTTTTTTCTCTATTCTCCTTGCATGGGCCCACATGGATTCTACACACTTTTTTTTTTTTTTTATAACAGATTCTACACACTTTTATGTGTATATAAGAGATAAATATTTCATACAACACGAGAAATATTAAATTCTCTCTCTCTCTATATGTATATATATATAAAAGAAATAAAAAATCTTACTCTCATTTCAGCTATTGATCTTTGTTTATCTAATGGTTGTAATTTATTAAGGATTAATAATTAATTAATAAATATATTTTAATAAATTATAATTGTCACATAAATGGATATAAAAAGGATTCGCATAGCGAAGTGCATTAGCCTATCTGACTTTAGTTCGAATGTCTTGGGTAGGGGTGTAAATTGGCCTACCGGCCTAATAGGGATCTACGACTTGGCCTATTAAAGCTTAAAAAAACCTATTTAGAAAGTAGATCATATGTTTTCTTTTACATCCTGGGCCTATAAACCTACGTGTCAGTCTATATCATATTATTTATTTTAAATAAAATAAATAAATTACTATTTAAATAATTTTGAATAATAAAGTAGAGGACGGTTATATTTACTATCAATTTAGCCTTACTACTTGATTAATTACCGTTGGATCAATTTAAAATCAACGGAAGTTAATTTTTCCTATTTTTCAACCATTGATTTCATTTTGTATTCATTTTTAAGAGTTTCGGTCTATTATATTTCAATTTTTAAGTTATTTATTTTTTGACATTGTATTTCGATATTTTTGGTCTGTGAGTTCATGTCTTTATTTATCCAATTTTTATAATACAATATAAGAAAAAATGAAAAATGTTGTTTTTCTTATTTACTTTGCAATTAAAACTTAAAGACAAAAAAAATAATTAAAATAATACATAATAAAAAAGAAAATAATCTTTCATTCCCTATAATACACAAATGCACAATAGAGATGAGTTTCTTTATCTATTCCAATTGAAAAGTGTTACCATTTTTCTTAATCAACAATAGATTAGGATATATTTCGAACACGATTGAAGTAAGTTTCCTTTTCTATCTTAATTAAAAAGTCTAATTAATTTTCTTCCTTTTTTTTTATCCGGCGGCGAAGATAGGAGATTATAAAATGTGATTTGGAGTCGGATCTAATTTCATTAAATATATATAGGGAATGATAGAGGTGCGGAGGAAACAGAGACAAGATTACATACAAGTAGCAGATTAGCGCAGCAAGAAAGGGTCAATTCATTCTACCATTATCAGGTAAGAATTCAAAGATAAATATTTTTTAATTTTCAATTTGGATCGAATTAAACTTGCAATCTCTAATTCCATTAAATATCTTGGGAGTGATAGAGGTGTGGATGAGATAGAGACAAGGTTACATATAAGTACGAGAGTAGCGCGACAAGAAAGGATCAATTCATTCTATCACCATTATGAGGCAAGAATTCAAAGATAATTATTTGTAATTTTCAATTTGAATCGGGTTAAACTTGCAATCTCTAATTCCATTAAATATTCATGGAGTGATAGAGGTGCGGATGAAATAGAGACAAGATTACATACAAGTAGCAGAGTAGCGTGACAAGAAAGGGTCAATTCATTCTATCACCATTATCAGGCAAGAATTCAAAGATAATTATTTCTTAATTTTCAATTTGGATTGGATAAAACTTGCAATCTCATATTTAGGGTTTAGAGTTGACCCGAATGGAGGTCTTTTGATCCATCTGATATAATTTTTAAAACATTTTATTGAATTGATACAAAATTTAATTATTTTATCAAAATAATTAAATGAATTACATGTTAAGGATGTGCAGAGTTTGTGCATGGACAATAAATGTCTATCACATGATGCACAATATAAGAGGAGTTTAAATTGTATAAGTGACATATAGCGAGTGTAATTTTAAATATAGAAGTTTTTAATTACTATTTAATTTTTTGAAATTTAATCTTATGAAAACTAATTCTACTAAAAAATAATCTTTAAAGAAATTAATTCTAATTCAACTTTTTTTTTCAATTCTTTTTCCTATACTTTATGGGTAGGGATCATGATTCACTGTGCTGCTACATCCTACGTGTGCAATTGTTGGCTTATTTTGATAGCTATTGCTCAACGGTTTTATACCTCTTTTGGGCCTATGGACCTGAACCTTAGGTCCTCCGAAAGTTCTGCCGCCAAAATCTAATACTTTTGAACCCGAAAACAAGAACATAGAAAAACATGATTAATCACATCCAATTATCAAATGATGAAAAATTCAATCATCAAAAGAGGAAAAAAAAAATAGAAGTTGAAAAGAAAAAACTTAATGCTGGCTTAGTTGATGATCATAACTAATGTACCTATCATTGTTTTCTCAATCTGGCACATGTGGATGTGATTTACTGAAGATCAGATTGAGGACATCTTCAAAATATGAATGGATGAGCGAATAAATAAATGCATGAATGTCTTCCTCTACAGCAGCTGGTGCACGTTCCAAATGTTCCAAATCAAATGCTAATTCTGAAATGAACAAAGCCAGTGATACTACCATAAGCCCCAGCAGCACAAGCAGTGCAACTACAACCAACTCGCAGCCTGACAATAGTGTCAAGAATGAGAAGAAGAAAAAGGTTCTTGCTTTTTAATTTCTTCCCTACATAAATTGCATTTTTTTTGCTTCTTGTGTATAAGTGTAATGGTGATGATATATTCTTCCTTACCCTGTTCTTTCTTGTGTTTAGTCTATCCTTCCAAAGATTTTCGGATCAAGGAAAAATGGGAGAGGCTCTGACGAAGATACATTCAAATCAAACGTAGAAGGAGATGGAGTTACTCTTGGTATTCATTACGTTGCTTCTTGCTCTTGAATATCTACATTTCCATGTTGTCAGGGTTGCCTTTAATTTTTCTTTTATGAATTTTTTGTATGGATAGATTTGGAGAAGAAGATTGAATCCAGAAGAAAAGCATTCTTGGAAGCTTCCCCTGTCATGAAAAAAAGTTTCTCAGGTATGTTTGTCAGCATACTTATTAAATTTTATGTTTCTTGATTTAATTTATATTCAATTAAGATTTAAGATTTGACTTGTAATCGATTAGGATTTGATTTATGTGTTTTTATTATCAGGATTGTAATTTCTTGATTCCATGATAAGTTATTCTAAAAGAAATTGCTAAGGAATCTTTTAAACCCATGATGTGGTATAAGAGCTGTTGCATGCAATTAAGTTGTGGCACAAACACAATTTTCACATTCTCTGAAAATCGAATTAATATCATTGCTTTTATAACAATTTTTTAATTATATAATGTTAAAAGTCAATATATCCTAGTTTGTGGCTTTAGTTTAGATTGAAAAACTGGTGGGTCAACACCAGATTCTGGATCCAACTGGTACATACCCACGTACCTATCAAGCAAGATGAAATCTTCCTCATATCCTCCTGTATTATTTTGGTAGCTTACCTAACAAAATGATATTTTGGTTATTATTAGTAGGATATTTTTGTAATTAAGGAGAAGAACATAAACTTGGGAATCAATTTTTCTTGTTTGATATTTGACCTTAAACTCCTCTCATCTCATGTGATGTATTTGTAAACCAAGCAATGGTAGACTTGTTAGAACATGACAACATGATCATAAACTAAACCATGATCTCAATTTCTTATCTACTCACAGAAAGGGAGACTAGCCCTGGGATCGAAGGCCTAAATTTGTCCAATTTTGAACGGCCTATGGCTCCGGAAACTGAAATTCAGAGTTTCAGGTACGGGATTTCTTTTTCAGTTCAACTCCTCAAACATTTTTCATTTTGGTTGCATATTATAGTCAGACTCAGATACTATCTTACTCATGCTATGCAATTTAATAACGGGGATTGCAGGATCTTTGTTGCAACGTGGAATGTAGGAGGAAAGTCACCAAACTATGACCTCAACCTTCAAGATTTCTTACTGGTGGAGGGCTCCGCAGATATATATGTATTGGGGTACGAACAGATTTGCAACATTTCATCATACTTTAGTGTTTGGATAATGGTTGCAACAAGGAACATTTTGACTAGGCTTTAAGAGTTTAAATATATGGTTATGGTTCCAAAGCTATGAAGCTTCTCCGAGTAGAAACTTATAGCTTGTGTGGAGAAAAGAAGTAACTCGAGGCCATACCAAGAGCTGATGCAAAGATGTTTCTCTACTGATTGAACTGGAGCTAAAATAAAAATGAAAAAAAACAGTTGTGCATGAAAATTCATAATGTTCTGTCTGTTTGCTTTTGTTTCTCTCCATTCGTTTCTTTTCAACTTATTTCTTGTTACCTGACATACTTTTTTATCTTCAGGTTTCAGGAAATTGTTCCTCTAAGTGCAGGGAACGTTTTAGTAATTGAAGACAATGAACCTGCTGCAAAGTGGCTGGCATTGATAAGTCAAGCACTAAACAGACCAAAAAATGAATATAGCGATTCATCTGATTCTGGACCTGGCTCCAAAACCCAAAACAACACAAAGGAATCAAAGTCACCAGCAAGTTTGAATTTCTTTCAGAAGCCTTCTCTTAAAGTTATCAGTAAGAATTTCAGGGCAGAAGGTAGCAGCCTTCTCAAGGCTTGCAATTGCCCTGTGGAATCTCCATCCAGAGAGAGACGGAGGATAAGAAAGTTTAGTGACCCTATAAATAAGTTAGATTCTGAGGTTCGTGGTGATAGTACAGTGGAAGAGCTACTTTCAATTGCAGAGATACCCTCTTCTCCAGGCCAAACCAAATACTCTCTTATATCAAGTAAGCAAATGGTTGGGATTTTTCTCACCATATGGACTAAAAAGGAGTTATTACCACATATTGGCCATCTTAGAGTAGACTCTGTCGGGAGAGGAATCATGGGTTGCCTTGGTAACAAGGTGAGCACAAGGATATACTTAAATATCACATAGCTACTAATTAATCATGAAACTATATATGATGTTTTTATATTTTTTTTGGTCATGAATGAAGAACTAATAATACATTTGGTATCAATAATTGACTGCAGGGGTGTATATCAATGAGCATGTCATTACATCAAACAAGCTTTTGTTTCGTCTGTAGTCACTTAGCTTCTGGGGAGAAAGAAGGTGATGAGCTGAAGAGGAATGCTGATGTAGCTGAGATCCTCAAAGGCATACAATTCCCTAGGATTTGCAAGAATCCTTGCCGTAGAGCACCAGAAAAGATAGTTGATCATGAGTAAGTTATCACTTATCAGTTAATTCCCTTTGAAACCTTCTTGTTCCATCCTCTTTTATATAACACACAATTTGTATTCCACCTTGTGAGTTCTAATCACTTTTAGCTTGTTCTGCAGTCGACTAATTTGGCTAGGAGATTTGAACTATAGGGTGGCTTTGAGTTATGATGAAACGAGGGTTCTGTTGGAGGATAATGACTGGGACACTTTGTTAGAGAAAGATCAAGTGCGTCCCTTCATTCATATACACACAACAAAACAATTGAATGTCAAATAAGTAAATTTATTGACTTTGTTTTTCATTTTATGCAGTTGAACATGGAAAGAGACGCAGGAAGGGTTTTTAGTGGTTTCAAAGAGGGAAGGATCTTTTTTGCCCCCACTTACAAATATTCACAAAATTCAGACTGTTATGCTGGTGAGACTGTCAAGTCAAAGAAGAAACGTAGAACACCAGCATGGTAATGCACGTCTCTTGAATCTTATTATTAATAATATGATATGATCCAATAACAGAAGAAATGTTAGCAAGCTAGCTGCATTTTTTTATTGAGATAAACCAAAATATTTGACAATAATACTCTATGCCAATTGAACAATTGTCAGGTGTGATAGGATACTATGGCGTGGCAACGGAATTGAACAATTAGCATACATCCGTGGAGAATCAAGATTTTCTGACCACAGACCTGTTTGTGCTGTCTTCTCAGTGGATGTGGAAGTAAGAAGCAGAAACAACAGATTCAGGAAGGGCTATTCCTACACTAGCCCAAGACTTGAATATGAAGACTTGATACCTCAAAGGCATAGTTTCTATGATTATTAATATAAAACTCAAATTAAGCTTGTATATTTCCTTAGGTTCAATAGAAGAATGATCTGTCACCTCTCTTTATTTCCTTTCTATTTTGTCCCCGTCGTACTCACCTCACCAAGGTGTCCATAGCTAGCTAGAATATTAACTATATAAAAGAGCAAAGCAATGATATATGCAACTGGCTAAGGAGTGACTGCAATCTTTGTTATCAAACTATTGATACTCGTAGAGTTTGATGTAAATAGAGTTGTTGAAAATTTCTTCATGCATCAGCACCATGATTTCTGTGAATTCTTCCTTCCTTCTGCAAATGTTGGTACGAAAGGTGTCTACTTGTGCTTGAAAAAAATTATAAGAATACGAATGTTAATAAAATATGGGTTCATGTTGCATGATATAATTTGTCTCATGCAAAGCGCAGAAAAGTGGATAGTACCCACTTTAAAGAAGAGATAGAAAGGAAAAAAGGTAGTTTCACCCATGGTTGTTAAAATCTCAATTTATTACTATGATTTTACAAAAAAAAATTCATCAAAACGATTTTACGTTTTTATAATTTTTTACGATTTTTTTACATTACGATTTTACATTTTACGATTTTTTAGTTATCTTCCGGTTTTACTTAAAATCTCAATTTTAACAACATTGGTTCCACCTATTTTTTTTATGTGTTGCATGAGACCAATTGTCTCATTTAACATAACAAACACATTTTTCATAAAATATATAGTTATATTATACGTGCATGAAACTAAAGGAATGACGGTGGTAGAAGAGTATAATCTGAACAGCAAATTACCGAAAGGGGTCAATGTGGTGGGTAATACTAATGAAATGAATGTAACTTGTTATATATATATATACAGAGACAGATCCTTTGACATCGGTGTCAAAAAAAAAGTTTGACACCTCATCTGAGAGCCGTTAGATAAAAAAAAATCAACGATTCTGATTTGTAAGCATGTGACACAATTGATTTTTTTTAATCTAACGGCTCTCAGATGAGGTGTCAAACTTTTCCTTTGACACCGGTGTCAAAGGATCCTGCCATATATATATATATATATATATATATATATATATATATATATATATGAGATAGGATCCTACACCAGTGTCAAATTTGAAATTTGACACCTCATCTGAGAGCCTTTGGATAAAAAAAGATCAATGGTGTCACATGCTTACAAATCAGAGCCATTGATCTTTTTTGATCAAATGGCTCTCAGATGAGGTGTCAAATTTGAAATTTGACACTGGTGTCAAAGGATCCTACCTCTCTATATATATATATATATATATATATTGTGGATTTAGATCAAATTTGTAAGTATACTAAGCTGTAGTGTATAACCTAATGGGCCTAGAGTCTATGATAGATGGACATTAGGTCACTGACATTTTATTAAAGAGGCCATCATCCCTACATAACTCCACACTGCCGCACTGCTTTATGAAAGTTGCAATTAATTAAAAAGGGTTCAAATAAAAAACTATATTCCTAATGTTAAAAGGATATCTTTTTAGAGTAAATATCTTTTTTTGGTCCTTAATAAATTTTATGATGTCCGTTTTAGTCCTTAGCAAATAAAAAGGTCTATCATGGTCCTTAAGAAATTTAAAATGGATCCATTTTAGTCCTTTTGAGTGACTAATATGGTTCTTTTTTGAATTTGTGAGGGACCACAATTTCAACTAAATGAGTCCATTTTAAATTTCTGAGAGATCTTTTTTATTTGTTAGGGACTAAAGTGGACATTGTAAAATTTGTTGAGGATCAAAAAATGTATTTACTCTCATTTTTATTATTCAGTGTTCTATAATTATGCTACTGTGGGTCTGTGCCTATGTTCTTATGCGGGAAGCTACATCCTTAAACTCTATTCCAATAAGACCAATGGTGTAGATTGCTAATCACCTGTATATTCAAACAGAAAAATCAAACAGACACCTTTGCTGCAACACAAAATTGATATATTAGGTGACTGAACTTTTATTATCCATTATCGCCACACTTTAATTATATAAATTAGGATCGGTGTTAATTAAAATTCAAATATATTAACAGTAAATTGGTAATTTTATTTGAGGCAACCAAAAATGAATTATTTTATAAATTATTTCTTCGATCTCACATGTTTTATTCGGTAATGAATCATCTCATATATTATTTTACCACAATCATGTCATATAATTTTTTTTAACTATCTATTTATATATCAACGGACAATAGTTAAAATAATTATCTCCTCTTCTTAATTTTATGATTTTCATTATTAAAATTATGTTTGCTGTGTTAGATTTGTGCTCTTTTATTTAAATCCAATTGTGTTAAGTATATGAGAAAAGTCCAAAAAAAATCTAAAGTCCAAAGAGCTTAGGGCTAAGATTTTTTGATATCCATATATATTATCACTTAAGTCATCAACCTCCTTAGTTGGTCAATAATCAAAAAAGTAAGCTAAAACATGAAAAAGTGTCTACACACTATCTCCTTCTTCCTTGAAAAATTTGCCAGAAACACAAGAACTGCTGCACTAGGAAGATCAGTTTATAAAGGGAGCTCACATATAAAGAGGTCCCTAACAAATTCGCATTACAAGAGCCAAAAGGTATGCCTTGTGTGATTGAAAGACAATGATAATTCGGTAATCATACAAATATACTAATTTTAAAATTGCTTCCAAATGAATCCAATTGATCCTACACGTTGATCAGTCAATGCATGGTTAAATTTTTCACATGATATAATAATGTTTGAACAAAATATGAAATGATACATTCCTACTTTTATCAAATAAATTTTGAGAATTAAAAGAATAATATAATTTATAATTTCTTATGATTAAAAAGTTGATAGTGGTAGGGAAGTGCTGGTTCCAACTTGACAAAGATGCACGAGAGGAGGACTGCTTTGCCGGGTTCTTATTCCTTCAATGGTGTGAAAAGATTTGCATTACTAGAGACTAAAATAAAAGGCATTGATCATTGTCAGTTTGCGATGCATTTACACTTTTTCTTTATTGATTTCTCTTTGGAAGAAGAGTCATGACCGGTCATAACGAAATGATTTTAAGTGGGACTTATTTTTTTATTTTTATTTTTTTGTAATAAGTGGGACTTATTATTATGCACATAAATAGTAATGCTTTTTCTGTATATTGGATCACGATTCTTTAGGGTTAAGATATAACTACAGAATATCATAAATAGTAAAAATAATTTAGCCTCTAATAAAAGAAATAGCATCATCAACTTACATAGATGTAAAAACAAAAACAAAAAAATATTTACCAAAAACAAAAAACAAAATAAAAATTATATTCATTTTTAAAAAAAAAAAAAAAAATTTACCTTCAATCATTAAATTATAAATATAATTTTATAAATTTGAATCATCCCAGTTCAACTGAAGTACAGTCCAATTTCCTGCGTATCAGTAGAACATTTTTGGAAGCTGGGGAGCAGAGGGATTGACGTTATTGTACCTAATAACTCACTGTCAATTGTCCTACTTTCAGTGCGTTGGCATAGTTTATTTTAGGATTATGCATTTTTTGGTAATTTTTGTAGATAGTTAAAAAATAACTCAGTTTACCAAAAAATAAAAAAATAAAATCATTATTTCTTTAAAAATATATTTTCACAAACATGAAATCAGTTCAATTTCTTCCAGGTACCAAAAGAATCAAGTAACAGAGTTCGTAAAGTACTTTCTTAATTTAGGAAAAAAAATTAAGTTGATGTTTTTAATAAATTAATTATGTATTTATTACAATTTTAAAAATAATTACACATTTACTACATAATATGACGTCCAATTTGGGCATCACAAAAGACGTCTAAATTGGGCGTCACTCAAGAGGCAATCACGCCTAATTTAGGCGTCATTTATCAGGTGTTGACACGTGTCATATCTTTTTTCAAAAAAATAAATAATTTAATCATAAAACTTTTGAAAGACATAACTTTTGACTTGAGTATTCAAATAAGGTAATTCTTTTTTTGATTCCACATAACTTTTCGAAATCTACGCAATGACATCTCATTTGACATATTTTATTTTTCACAAACACAATTTAAATTTGCAATAATGGTATTATAAGAGCGGTTAAACCCAGAAGCCTCTGAGTTCTGGATTTGTGATTTAATATAAAAAAATAAATAAAATTTTGATTTGTGATTTAAATTTTTTTATAATAATTTTTTCTATTATAACAAAAATTTGGTTTGTGATTTAAATTAAAAATAAAAATTATTATTAATAAGGAAAACAAAATAAAGATTTGATTTGTGATTTAAACTAAAAAACAATTTGAAAAATCAGTAGAAATAAAAAAAATAATTAAATAAATATTCTAAATCTCTAAAGAAAAAGGATATTATTTTTGAAATTAATGATTAATGTTATAAGCTTCTGGGTTATTATTTGTGATCTGAAATTAATTATGGCTTACGAATGTTTTTCAAAAATAAAATTACCTAAATTAGGCGTGATTGCCTCTTGATTGAAACTCAATTTAGACGTCATTGGTGACGCGTCAGGTGTTGACACGTATTGACACGTGTCACATTTTTAAACTCAGAAGCCTCTCCGTTATGAGTTTGTGATTTAATATAAAAAATAAATCAAAATTTTATGTGTGATTTAAATTAAAAAATTATTATTAATAAGAAAAACAAAATAAAGATTTGATTTGTGATTTAAACTAAAAAATTAATTTGAAAAATATGTATTAATAAAAGAAATAATTAAATAAATATTCTAAAACTCTAAGGAAGAAAGATTGCCTGATTTAAATTTAAATTATGTTTCTGAGAATAAAATATATCAAATGAGATGTCATTGCGTAGATCTCGAAAAGTTAGGTGGAATCAAAAAAATATTTACCTGATTTGGATACCTAAGTCAAAAGTTATGGCCTTCAGAAGTTTTATGATGAAATTAATTTTTTTGGAAAAAAAATATGACACGAGTCAACAACTGATGAGTGAAGCCTAAATTAGGCGTGATTGCCTCTTGAGTGACGCTCAATTTAGGCGTCACCAATTTAGGCGTCTTTAGTGACGCCCAAATTGGGCGTCATATTAAGCAATAAATGTAAAATTATTTCCAAAATTGTAATAAATGCGTAATTAATTTATTAAAAAGCATTAAATTATTTTTTTTGCCGCAGTTACTGCACATAAGTTATCTGCAGTAGGCCCAATACGACGTCGTTTTTGGATAGAAATCATGGCATTTTTGTAATTTTAATTTATTTCAGGGTTATAATAGTCTTTATATTTATAATTTTTTAAGATTTTAATACCAAAACAACGTCGTTTTGGGAATAAATGCAGATAACTTATCTGCATTAACTGCAAAAACATTTTTCCCTTTCTTTTATGGGAAATGTTATACTTACAACCTATTTTTATTTACAACCATAATCTTAACCGTTGATTTTCGCCAATCAACGATTATTATTTTCGTAAATTAAATTTATTAATTCGCAATAAATGATAATCGTTGATTGACGAAAATCAATTATTAAGATTAGGGTTATAAAAGGTTGTAAACAAAAATAGGTTGTAAGTATAACCTCCCGGCAAAAAAACTTAATTTAATACTTTTTAATAAAATAATTACGCATTTATTATGGTTTTGAGAATAATTACACATCTATTGCACAATGTCACGCCTCTTTTGGGCGTCACTTATCAGGTGTTGACACGTGTCATTTTTTTTTCAAAAAAAAAAATAATTTAATCATAAAACTTTTGAAGGCCATAACTTTTGACTCTGTTATCCAAATCAGGTAATTCTTTTTTTGATTCCACATAATTTTTCGAGATCTATGCAATGACATCTCATTTGATATATTTTATTTCTCAAAAATATAATTTTAATTTAAATCAGTTAATCCTTCTTCCTTAGAGATTTAGAATATTTATTTAATTATTTCCTTTATTAATATAGATTTTTTAAATTGATTTTTTAATTTAAATCACAAACCAAATTTTTTTATAATAAAAAAAATATAATTTTTTTAATTTAAATCACACATCAAATCTTGATTTATTTTTTTATATTAAATCACAAACGCAGAATTCAGAGGCTTCTTAGTTTAAAAATGTGACACGTGTCAACACCTGACACGTCACCAATCACGTCTAAATTTGGTTTCAATCAAGAGGCAATCATGCCTAATTTAGGTAATTTTATTTTTGAAAAACATTCATAAGCCATCATTAATTTCATACCACGAATAATAACCCAGAAGCTTATAGCATTAATCATTAATTTCAAAAATAATATCTTTCTTCACCTGACACGTCACCAATCACATCTAAATTGGGTTTCAATCAAGAGGCAATCATGCCTAATTTAGGTAATTTTATTTTTGAAAAACATTCATAAGCCATCATTGATTTCAGACCACGAATAATAACCCAGAAGCTTATAGCATTAATCATTAATTTCATAAATATTATCCTTCTTTCTTAGAGATTTAGAATATTTATTTAATTATTTTCTTTGTTTCTACATATTTTTCAAATTGATTTTTTAGTTTAAATCACAAATCAAATCTTTGTTTTGTTTTCCTTATTAATAATAATTTTAATTTAAATCACAAACCAAATTTTGGTTATAATAAATTTTTTTATAAAAAATAAATAAATCACAAATCAAAATTTTATTTATTTTTTTATATTAAATCACAAACCCATAACTCAGAAGCTTCTGGGTTTAACCGCTCTTATAATACCATTTTTGCAAATTAAAATTATGTTTGCGAGAAATAAAATATATCAAATGAGATGTCATTGCGTAGATCTCGAAAAGTTATGTGGAATAAAAAAATTACCTGATTTGGATACCCGAGTCAAAACTTATGGCCTTCAAAAGTTTTATGATTAAATTAATTTTGTTTTTGAAAAAAAAAATGAAACGTGTCAACACCTGATGAGAGACGCCTCATTGGGGCGTCTCCTTAGGGTGAGACGCCTCAATGGGGGTCACATGTGACGCCCAAAGGAGCGTCACATTGTGCAATAGATCCGTAATTATTTCTAAAACTGTAATAAATGCGTATTTATTTTATTAAAAAGCATTAAATTAATTTTTTTTGCCCAGTAACTGCAGATAACTTATTTGCAGTAAGTGCAGATAAAGCAAACCTAAAAGAAAATATTATTAAGGAGATGATTGTATATTGCATATCTATTTAATATTTCTATTTCTATTTTTATTATTGTTGATTATATTTAAATCAATAATAATCAATAATTAGTGTAATTAGTTGAAAAAAATAAGAGAGAGATAAAACTGTTAATCTAAAGATAATGAACGGTAATAAAAAAATAAGGATAGAAAGATTAATAGGTAGATAGTATAACCCTCTCTTATTATTTATTTATTTGTATAAAAATCACGTAACCAAACCGGATTTTAATGAGCCGTTGGCTTTCCTCGGGAAATTCCATGGGCATTACTGCCATCTGACAACTACAAACAAGTACAAATATTCATTATTTCTTCCCATATCTAATGCTCTTCCCACATCATCCTCACTACTCTCTGGTTTCTGCATGCACCGCACGTTGTGCAACTAATTCTGGGACTTTTTTGTGTGTGTGTGTGTGTATGCTGGATTATGGAGTGTACACAGTACACACACATGGGGCGCTTTACACTTTTCTATTTTTTACAAGTTCTAACATAAAATAAAGTTAATTAAAAGGGTTGATCTAATGGTGAGGGATTTAGGTAGATTATGTATTTAATTTTTACTTATATAAAAAAATAACTATATTCACACATTAATAAAAAGGAATGAATTTTATTTATCATTCATAATTAAATTAACGATAATAAGAGATGATTGATAAAATTATTAAGATAAATAATAATAAAAATAATTATATCTATGTGTTATTTACATATTTAAGTCATGTAAGATAATCACAATCATTTATAATTAAATTAATGGTTATTTATTCTTTATTTTTTGGAAAAATATTTTTGCAGTTAATGCAGATAAGTTATCTAAATTTATTTCCAAAACGATATTGTTTTCGGATTGAAATATTAAAATATTATAAATATAAAAACTATTATAACCCTGAAATAAATTAAAATTACAAAAACACCATTATTTCTGCTCCAAAACGACGTCGTATTGACTTACTGCAGATAACTTATTTGCAATAACTGAAGAAAAAATAAATCTTTTTTTTTTAATATTTTTTTTCTTTAATATCTCGTAACTATTGATTTGATCATTAATACTTATAATCTAATCACTTGAAATATCATATGTATTCCCTTTAAAAATATTATTAAACCTTTTGGATGTGAAAATGATATTATTACCTTAATACACTAAATAAATAAAAGGTTAAATAACTCTACTTTCGTAAATAAGTTTATCCCACTTCTTGACTCATCGAAAATGACTTTTGGTGAATCACAGCAAAAAAATAAAAATAAAAAATAAAAACAGTAAGTATCTTTCTTTTTTTTGATGTAATGAAAAACCAATGATATTTCACACACACACACACACAAAACGAGGTTCACAAATGAGAAAGTAATAACCTGTGGAAGATTTTAATAACTCGAAGGTGTTCACGTTTTCGGTTTGTCTGATTCTTTGTTTGCTTTTCTTTTTGTTACCCTTTTTTCCATCCCTCCTCATTGCTCATTGCTCACTGCTCAATGCTCACTGCTCAGACCGTTTCTGCAAAATCTCTGTAACAAGGCTATATACTATACATACTCAAGAACCAGAACCACACTGATGCGGTTCAGGTTTCCTTTGATGGCTTCGATTTGATGACCCCTACCTACCCTCATTGCTTCTTTACCTTTTCCTTCTTTGTACTGACCTGACCAGACTGAAATCAAACCACCAATTGTCTTCCTTTTCACTACCTTGCTCTAAGATGGGTCTTGTCCCTTTCCTAATAACCTTTCTTCACTAAGGTCTCTCATTTTTATTTTGTTTTTTTCACCCTTGCTGCATCACCATGCAACTTGGGTGCTGATTGCTGCTCTATTTGCCACATAAAGGTCACATTTTGACCAATAAGGTCTTGTTTTTCCAGTTATCTACTTTAAGGGTTATGACATTTTAGTGTTCTTCATTGAGTTTGTTTTACTTAAAAAATTTCAAGTGCGACTTTTTTATTCTGAATGTTGTGCCTGAATCTCTTAAAAAACAGTAATGGGGGCATTCAAAATAGAGTCTTTTCTATGAATGCTTGGTGAATGGATGTAATCTGATAAAGGGGGTGTTCCGTTCCTCTGTGAAAATGGGTGCTACGAATTCGAGAGCTGAAAAAAATGAAGCTTTGAGTCTGTGCAAGGAACGAAAGCGATTCATCAAGGTGGCTGTTGATTCCAGATATGCTCTAGCTGCTTCACACGTTTCTTACATTCAATCTCTTCGAAACGTTGGCATCGCTCTCCGTAGGTACGCTGAGGCTGAGGTACTGGTAGAGTCGTCTCTGTCCATTTCTGACAAAACCCCATCTCAAACTAGTTACCCTTCTCCATTATCACCTTCGCATGTTGCTGAGGTTGAGGTTTCAGAGTCACCTTTGCACAATGAGAGTCCTCTTTCACCCCCAATGGCCACTCTTAATTACATGAGATCAGGGGGTACTGCTTCTGTCACCGTTAGGATTAGTGCTTGCGGTAACAACTATTTGGATGATGAATCCACGGTGCTCCCAATGCCTCCACCTCCACCTCCTCCTGAGTCAGGTGCATCTTGGGATTTCTTTGACCCTGGGGAGGATAGTGAGAGCTTCAGGTTTGCGGGGTTTGGTAGTGAGTCCAGAGAGTGCAGGGATGAAGAAAAAGCTGGTTCAACTTTGGTGGCAGCCACACGAGATCAATGGTCACAAGTTGGTTCAGATGAGCATGGCATGATGCAATCCAACCTGGATGAAAAGTTTAGTAGAAACTTCAGCAGTGCTGCAATAGGAAACGAGTTTAGTAGTTCTTATGTACACTGCCTTGATCATTCAATTGTTTCAAGAGGAGTTGAAGGTTGCAAACAAATGGTTGATGGAGAAGTGAGACAGCTAGACTCACCAAGTACTGCTGGTGACAAAAATCAAAACAAGAGTGCTGTTGGAAGATCCAGTTCAAAGAGGGAGAAGAACATAGCCGGGAAAAATGTATGCACAGAAAGAGAGGATCCTTCAGAGTTCATCACCCACAGAGCTAAAGATTTTCTCTCTAGTATAAAGGATATTGAGCATCGGTTTATTCGAGCTTCTGAATCTGGTAGGGAGGTCTCAAGGCTGTTAGAGGCAAATAAAATCAAGGTTGGATATTCTGAGGCAAAAGGTAATTGCTTGTTATCTTACTCTTTTTTCCATATACTAAACTTCATATATATTTGTATTTAATCGTGCAACATACAACTGGTTAGTCATTTTTTTTGATTAAGTGAAATTACTAATCTGCTTCAGACTACTTCTGATAGGGAAGTCATCTACCATGGCTTTATTCACAGCTTTTCAGCCGGTTTGTTGCGGTGGAAAGGCTTCACCTGTTTTCCAGGGTAAGTTGCAGCTCAATTCTGTAAAAAGACACTGATCACTAACTTATTAACATCGGATTGATAGGTTTAGCCCCAAACATGATATCTTTGATGGTCTGGGTTTGCTATTATTCTTTTAACTAGGCTTATTACTCTATAGAAGGTTTCTAGATACTTCATTAACTCCAGTTAGATTTGCCATTTCTTGACAAATGAAATGAAACTGCACTGGACAAGACACAAGCTCAAAATTTAAGCTGCTGTTGCTAATAAATATAACTGATTTCTATTTGGTCTAATGTTTTCTGAATGCTTTCAGCTTGGTAATAAATATGAATGATTACCATTGGGATTAAGGAAATTATTGTCTGCAACAACATGTAGTAATCTGGATGGTCTCCTGCAGTTTATGGGGTTTGAATTTTCATTTATAAATAGTGGTTAGCTATATGGTAAACCCAAGCTATGTTGATAAACGGTTTTACCTTCTAACGAGTTTGGAAATAAAGAGGTATTTAAGTGTTGTTTTGTTTGAAGCAGTCTGGTCAACCTGTAGGTTCTTTCACTTGTGCTACAAGGTGTCAGTTTTTCTTAATTTTTTCTTTTCTTGTTTAGTTTTATTCTAAGCTTTAACTATCTGGTCACTGTTAAATTTGCCTGCTGTTGCTTTTATTCTTGATAGATGAATATTTAGGATGGACTAATTTGTCACCCTTTTGTGTAGAACCTGCACAGAAAATAATTAGTTGGAAAAGGACAGCGTCTTCTCGATCATCCTCATCCAGGATTCCTTTGGCTGCAAAATCAAAGGAAGATATTGATGATAGTGGAAGTGACTTTGTTGAAGAATTCTGCATGATTGCTGGAAGCCATTCGTCCACCCTTGACAGACTGTATGCATGGGAACGAAAACTCTATGATGAAGTAAAGGTATTACAATTAGCATAAAAACGAAAAAAGTAATGGTGTTGAAACCACTGAAGTATCATATTAAATATATGTTTTAACAGGATAAACCTTACATTGCATGATATCTGAATATGAAAATTTACATAATAAGCAATTGGTATTTAGTATCTTCAGAATATCCAGTCAATAAGGATTTGAGTTCTTTTGACATTTATGCCTGTAGGAGTTGCTACACGGAAATCCTAAATCCTAGTTATCTTGGGATGCTAGCTCTAAGATGTTTGGGTATAAGATGTATGAAAAATTATGATCCCTTTGAGGATTCTTGAGTACCTATTGCCTCCTTATTATTTTTGAAAATGCACAACCAACAATGTGTTCATGTGTAGTGCTAATTTGCATTTCAGGCTTATTTGTTATCTATCTTATAGCTTCATAGAGAATTCCGCTAGGGAAATAGTATCAAGAATTTTTTTCATTCATGATTCATAGGAAGTCTGGTAATAAGGGCATTCCTGGAGCAACGGTTAAATTGCTCCTTTTTTATTGAAAGGTTACAGGTTCAAATCCAAGATATTGTCTCTTTACAAAAATGCAAAGATTTTCTCACCCCTACCATTGCAAGTTGAGGTTTCATGGGAAGCTCTTTATAATTTGTAGAAAGTCTGGTATAGAAAATAAAGAGAACTTGGTTAAATTTTTCGTTTGATTTATAGCAGCAACCTCCTGCACACACCATTTTGATTAAATCTTAGTGTTCTTTTTCGATACCTCACTACTTCAATTCAAATTCTAGAAGTTGCTTCAATTTGTCAACAATAAAATTAAGTGATGCCTCATTAGTTATTTGAACCCTGGGGACACATAAATAACTGTTACTTAAGGAAAGGAAAAACTTAAAAGAGAAGTGGAAAACATCTCGCTATAATATGCCTTAATCCCTTTCCCTCCAAATTTTTATTCCTTTCAAGGACACAAGGTAATTCTTTGATTTACCAATGTGTTGATTTGCTTCTTGTTAAAATGTATTGAACCTTCAAACATTATTTGTTCAATCCTTGGTCCTTTTAACGCCTATTGGGCTATCTGTAGGCTAGTGAATCCATCATGAAGGTCTATGATCGAAAATGTCACCAGCTTAGACATCAATTTGCAAAAGATCAAGGCACTCAAGTGATTGACAAGACCCGATCAGTTGTGAAGGATCTGCATTCACGGATAAGAGTGGCTATTTATTCTGTCGATTCAATATCTAAACGTATTGAGAGAATGAGGGATGAAGAGTTAAACCCTCAACTCTTGGAATTAACGGAGGGGTAAGTGAGGGTTCTGGATTTTATATTTATATTACCTTGAAGCTTTACTATCTGTTTGCTATTTTCAAACATATATATTCCTTGCCAATTGAGTGTTAAAGCTATAACTACTATTAACTTAAGGAACTTCTTGCTGTGCAGATTGATCAGAATGTGGAAGGCTATGCTTGAATGTCATCATGCACAATACATTACCATCTCCTTGGCATATCATTCAAGAAGCTCAACTGGAACCTTGCAAGGAGATGTCCGCAGAGAGATAATGACTCGGCTGCTTGAAGAAATTGAGTTCTTTGGTCTGAGTTTTGCTAACTGGATTAACAGCCACACCTCATATGTGGAAGCTCTCAATGGGTGGCTGCAAAACTGTATACTGCAACCAAGGGAGCGTTCCAAGAGCAGAAGACCATTCTCTCCGCGCCGAGTTCTGGCGCCACCGATATTTGTTCTTTGCCGTGATTGGTCTGCTGGGATCAAGGCTTTACCCTCTGAGGAACTAAGTCATGCTATCAGAAACTTTTTGTTAGATATTCACCAGCTGATGGAGCAGCAAAATGATCAACTTCTTAAGAAACAGAATTCAGCTCAAGCAAGCACTGCAGAAACCGAGAGCAAAACTAACGAAGAGAATGAAGATGAGTCCGCAAATTTGAGTTGCATACATGCAAGTTTAACGAAGGTTCTTGATCGACTGAACAAATTTTCTGAGGCATCATTGAAGATGTATGAAGATATCAGGCAAAAAAGTGAAGCAGCTCGAACTGCATATCATAATTGCAGAACTCACCGGGCCGAAAAATTTTAATTCTCAAATACAAGCTTCTGCCTTTGCATGCTTGAGATTAATACGTATATGAAAAACACCAAAAAGAAAAAAAATATAGACACATGGTCCCGGCGGCCCTTGTTGGACAAAAAAAATGTAAGATGGAAACTGGGTTAAGTATCTGTATATGAGTTGTCGATCCATGCTATAATAATGACTAGCAAAAATCTATCGTGCTTTGTTGTATAATTAGAGTTACTTCATCGGTGGTTGTTTGGAGACACTACCTTTTTTACTTTTTGTTTTTGTGCCAGTGAAACAGTATCTGTTGGCATGACGGAGCAAAGGTTAATTGATTGATTCTCATTATTTTTGGTGTCAAGGTTAAGTCTCATCATAAGAAATTGATAAACTCTACCTGACAGTTTTTACATATTATGATAAATTATTGTCATAGAAGATGAATATCATTATTACAATATATGCATAACCTGAGTTTTCAATCAGTGTAAAAGAATGCCTCTTCAAGGCAAGGCTTCTGAAAAAAAAAATGAGAGAAGGAAAACTTAATATATATCTTGAAATTATTAGTATTTTTATTTTTCCACCAATAATCTTTGACTGAAATATCAAGTTTCATTTATGGTTCAAGCAGCTGCTTTGGTCAGTGGATTGTGGGTTCTGTGCGGTGTTTCTTTGGTCAGCTGCAACCACTGATATGCTCCAATTATAACAATTAGTTAAAAAAACATTTTTGAGGTTGTTTCCTCCAAATCCAAATACATATCAATCGTCTTTGGGGTCCTTCCTTTTTTAGAATCCCACATATTGTGTGTACTGCGAGTAAGCTTCCGACTGCATGGCAATAGGGGCCCGGGTAACATGATCCGGAAGATCAAATGCATCAACAAGTTCCCTTGCAATATTCCTCACTTGGAAACTTAGATAGTCTGTGAGTTTGTGGATTGCCTGTGAAATGGAAAAACTTCAATATTCACCAATATTAAGAATATAATGTTAAAAAGAGCAAGGTCCAATCATATTCATCCTCATCTTAGATAAACCCAAAACTTCTGTTACTGTTTTTTAAAGGTTAAAGAGTGATCCCCAAAACCAAGATTTTTCGTAAGCCAATTAATGCTCTTAATCCATATACATTTTGTTGAGAGAAAAAAAGCAGTAGATGAATATGAAAATATCATAAATCTTAAAACAAACTTGAAACTCATGGGTGAGAAATGAAGTTCATACACTCGCAGACCCAATATCTTATCCAGGTTTCTAGTTATTCCTGGATATTTGGAATGATTCCATATAGTAGCCATTAGCCCATTGGGAATTAATGGTTTTTGTGAGCTGTCAGGAAAACTAAAAAATAGCTCATTAATTTTGGTATTTAATTGTGCAATAATATTTTTAAAAATATTATATTTATTTTATTATATTTTTTAAAAATGTTACCTTGGCTTTATTGGGAGCCACATAGTCAACATTACGGTAGGTTCCAATGTCATTCCATATTCGATCCAAAGCATAAAGATCACAGACGAGCTTCAAAGCAGCTTGAGAGCTTGGATCAGGACAGCTGGTGCAGATATAGGCCAAGTTAAAATTGGAAAAAATTACGCAAATAAAGGAGATACACAAATATTAGGAACTAGGAAGCACCTCTTCACGGCTTCAATGAATTTAGCAAGGATGACTGACTCAATATGTGACTCTGCAAGTGTCAAAAGGTGATTTAAGCATCTATTCCATGCACCAAAGTCCCCAAGGGAGTTAGAATGCTTTCGAAGTCGTACAGCCACACTTTGAAGTAATCTAGATGTTCGGTACTGCAAAGTGAAAATCAAAATAAATTGTTGATTAATTTATGTCAGCTTATATAAGATTTTGTCTGTTGCCAAGGAATCAAGTTAAAACTCACTCTGAAAGCGTCCAATTGAAATTTAGGATCTCGTAAATGGTCTTCGCCTTCCCACCGAGCAGTAACCGGATTTGGCTGTGACAGATAAGTATTCATGGATTCTCTCAAGTAGTTCCATGTCACTGCAAGAGTCCCTCCTTTGAACTTTCCCTTGTATTGTTTCAAAAGATCAGCTGCAACCTTCATTTGTAAAGGAAAAATTCAGACCTATAGCTTACCATGCTTCCAATACAAGAACCAAACAAAAAACATAACGCACAGCCTAAAGCAGCAAAATTATAGTTTCCAACAAATGAAAGGAAGGGCATGATTTCCTACGATTCCACATGGTTAAATATGAAAGAGACAATGCAAATGTATCCGTGAACCAGCAATCAAATCATTTAATGGATTCTTTTACCAGAATAGTTTGGCACTTCATTTGGAAACTAACAAAAGCAAGATTCAAAGAAACTTGAATGCAAAAAGATATATCAAGGTTAAAGTGGTGTTTTGAACTAAAGTAAGGGCTAACCAATTGCAGCAAAATTTCACTACTGATTTGTTCATTATTCTCTACAGTCTGCACTAAGGTGTAGAAGAATGCAAATATATTTTTTATAAGGAAAGCAGCAACCACAGTCACAGATTAATGACTGAATTCCATGCCCCTTCTTTCCTATATTGTCTTGATTATCAGATTGAAACACACCGACAGTCTATTTATAAAAGTCTTTACGAGAAGTGATATAATTGGGCTAAGCCAATAACCTGTTGGAGAAGAACCGTGTTGTCTCCCTCAAATGTCTGAAAAATGTCATGATCATTCCTCAAGACACCAAACCGATTTACAGCAGCATAACCATGGCCTCCACAGGCTTCCCTACAGATGCTCAGTGACTTTGCGGTATATGTAGTTACATAAGCCTTTAGACCTGCTGAAAGAGCATGGACATCTGCCACTAATTCTTCATCATGAGACTTTTTCATTTGAGAATATTTATCCACCAAATTTGTAGTGGCGAAATGAAATGCATAAGTTGAAGCCAACATTGGCATAAGCTTATGCTGTTGAGACTGATAGTCTAGAATACTGACTTCGGGTTGGTTTGGGGGTCCAAATTGCTGACGAAGTAGAGAATATCGGATGGCAATTGTGGCAGCAACCTTCAGGACACTAACTGAAGAGTATGCAAGGCCTACCCTACCACCAACAAGTTCACCTAAAGTAGCAGCAAACCGCTTATTCACAGAAGGAAGGCTACTAGTGTACTTCCCATCACGGGAGACATCTCCAAAACGGTTCAGAAGATTGTCTCGAGGAATTCTAACAGAGCGGAATCTCAAAGCTCCATTATCCACGCCATTGAGGCCAACTTTATGACCACAATCGTGTATCTCAATTCCAGGAAGCGGTTGATGAGTCTTCATATCCCTTATTGGAACTATGAAAGCATGGACACCCATATCAGAATATCCTTTAGTGTTGTCATAAGTGGGCAACTTCAACCGAGCAAAAACAGTGGCAAACTTGCCGTGCACTGCAGCGTTACCGATCCACCACTTGATGGCACCATCATTTGGCGTATCAATGATAAACTCATCGGTGATAGGATCAAAAGAGGCAACAGTTTGGAGGCCCTGCACATTTGAACCTTTTAAGCACAAAAAAAGTAAGCAGTTTAGAAATATGTAACTGAAAAAGTGCTACGTGGCAGCATGTTTGAGTGGAAACACAATAGACATTAAAAAATAAAAAAATAAAAATAGCCTTCAACCCCAAAGCATTTTAACTCAAGGGAAAGTTGAGACTGGAAAACAATCTAATAACAGGAGAAATTAGTAAATAAAGGCAGTTGGTTAAAGTCACTTCACTTGCATAGCATTTGAATATAAGTGGAAACTACAGGTTTCAGCAACATCTTATATAAGTTCACTATCATTTACAAGTTTCAACAGAGTTCCCGTAAGTTCGCAAGTTTAAGTTTACTTCACCGCTGAGACAGTGACACAAACAAAGTTTATAATAGTCGTTAACTTTAGTAGCAAAGGCAAAGAAAGAAAGAAAAGAGAAATAAAATTACCATGGTGAAGCTCGGTCATAGCAAAACAACCCGGGTAATCCAAGTTATCAATACCATCATAGTACTTATCCTTATGCTTCTGAGTTCCCAAATTGAGAACAGAACCACCCCAGAGACTGCACAGCACAGAGTGATAAAAGTCATAAAACAAAAAATGAAGTTGCAAAATCTCACATTCCCCAAATGAAGTGTAACAAAACAAAGTACCTGTATTGAACACCCATTTTGATCCCAAGTGACATGTCGACACTGCCAACGGCTTCCAAGATTGCGAAGTACTTGGAGGGGTCGTGGAGGATGTAACGGAGGGGTCTAATCCCAGCTTCTCTCACGAGTCCCAGAAGCTGATTCATACAGAGTTCGCGATGATCGTCCTTGGAGATCTCGACGGGGGTTTGGAGGTGTGGATTGGCGTTGAAGTAATCGAATACCTTCTCTTGTATCTCTCTGTGTTTCCCTCTCATGTAACTCGATAGAGGACCCGTTTCCACGCTCAACTTCCCTCGAGAGCACGTTTCCATCTCTAACTGGTTCCCTGCTGCGTAACCCCGAACGGGGTTTAGGTGCAGGGTTAGCCTCTTAATTCTCCTCTCTGCTTCCGAACCAGATTCATCGTTGAACTCGAATTCGAATTTCGGAGTTGGAGTTTGCATTTTTGGTTTTTTTGATTTTGGTTAGTGTTTGGGATTTGTTGTAAAATGAATGCAGTTCAATCATCGGCAATGCGTATATGATGGGGCAATATCGCAATTGGTGTTAGATGATACGGCATCTACGTGGAGGTGATTATGATGATAGATAATGTGGTTGAGAAGTGATAACGACGCGTGGCGGCTACGGATTGGACCGCAGATTGGAAAGTTAACTTTCCGGGCACGCCTTTCAACGTTTTTTGCTTTGGTTACTGGTTGATTATAGAATTTCCAAACACTAATTAATAAGTAACTATCATAAGATTCAAACATTGTTGCCTTGATGCAACGAAATAGATAAGATTATTAAAAATGTATAATGACATGTCACAGGTATGAAAAAAAAATTTAAGAGTAAATCATCTTTTCCATCCTCAGTAAATTTCACATATCCGTTTAGTCCTTAGTAAATAAAAAGATCCATTGTAGTTTATGAGAAGTTTAAAATGGATCCATTTCAGTCCTTTTAGGTACTAATATGGGTCTTTTTTGAATTTGTGAGAGACCACGATTTCAACTAAATGAGTTCATTTTGAATTTTTTAGAGACCACAATAGACTTTTTTATTTGTTAGAGATTAAAGCGAGTATCGTAAGATTTGTTGAGTAGCAAAGAGTATTTACTTTATTTTAAATACAATTTACTACACGTCTAAATGGGTTAGGGGAGTCAATTTGTTGGACCAGAGAAACTAATCCAACAATCCCAACAACCGAAAAGAGTACGACAACATATTTTACATTATGTAGTATATAATATAAAAAAATAAAAGTTGTTTTTTTTTAAGACAATTACAGTTGACATGAAACGCTCGTATTCCTGGGATATACTTACTCTCATAATATATTAAGTAGTGTTTGGTTGGAGAGAAATTTTTTAATACTAGGGAAATATAAATATTAGGGATCTGGAGTAAAAGTGAGTTAGATAGGAAAGTTTTAAAAAAGTTGTTTGGTTGGGCAAAATTTTATCATGAAAATTGAATTAAATTTCTGAATGTGTGTTTGGTTGAAGATAAAATATTAATTGGAAAATTTAATGAAATTACAAAACTATCCTCGTAAAAACACCTCCGTTTTATTACATTCTTCGAGCAATCAAGAAACTAAGCCTGCAAAATTCACGAATACATTTTAACACAAGAAGAATGAATATAGGCAAAGCTCAACAAAATACTTTACCAATCCAACAGTGTACTGTACCTGAAAACTCCAAGTGCCATTTGAGTTATTCCTGCAAAGAAAGTTGCAGTAAAGACGCATGTTCAAATTTTCCTTCCACGGACAAATTCAACTCTTGTGGAGCTAAAGCCAAACCATTGTTACGAGAGTATCTCTGCAAATGCCCATTAGTACCTGGTGCTTGAACCCTTCCCCTTCCTGGCATTGGCCTAATATCCCTGTATGGTCGAGAAGTCTGCAAAATTATTAGATTAACACTTAGATTAGATTAACAGGGGTAAACTTGTCATGCGTAGAAACACCTTTTTCATTTATCCGATTTTGAAGATCAATTCCACATATTCAAATGGCTTTCTCAATAGTGCCTTTCTCCATATTTTGGTCATCTTCCTCGTTTCCTAGCCAAGTGAGTTAGATGGGAAAATCAGCGTGAAACCTTCAACCAAACGTGGTTATGACAGATACCCACATACATTTAGCCATCAAAATTTTCACTTCTCCCCAACCAAACACTACCTTAGATTTTTCGCATTCTCACCACTTGAAAAATGAGTAGTTATAAAAAAAATTGTGACACATCATCATTCATGTCATACCACTTCAGCAACTCATGTAATCGTTGTCTCTTGCCAATTGATTTTGAGTAGTTTTATCGAGATTAGAAGTGAACTGGGCAAAAGTTTATAATTTCGCAAATTGTGTCAATTCTAATTTTAATTTACCAGTTACTTATTTTATTGCTTTAATATGAGTCGTCGATCCAATTATGGAAATGAAAATACAATCTTTTAAAAAATTGCGAAATTCTTCTTTTTATTTTATATTATATTCAATTCTATTATCTTAAAATTAGATTTATATTCGAATTGAATATAATTTATGATAAAAATATTAAAATTAAAAGAAAATATCGTACAAGTGAATAAAAAGTTAGATTTACATTGGATCTTACCTGAATTGCCCCGTCTATTCTCAAGAGGAGAAGTTTGGTTTCAAACCCCAATTCGAGCAAAAGAAGTATGTCATGTTAATGTTACTTGGATGATTTACATCTCAGGGTCGGGCGTCGAGTAGTACATTGAAATATTCATATGATTGAGAGCCGTCACAGTAGTACATTGAAATATTCATATGATTGAGAGCCGTCACAGTTTAAGCACTACGACGCAATTATCACAGACACGTGTTTTATCACTGAGCTAATAGCCCGTTGTGCTAGCCTCCTGTTGGAGCCCGTGTGAGAAAAAATTATTTTGTATTTGAATGTAATATTAAAAAAATATTTTTAAGTAAAAAATATTATTTGAATATTAAAATAAAAAAATACTTTTAAGTATAAAATTACGGATATGCACTTTCTTTTATTGCATTCTGCTTCATCTTACTGTTGTTCGTTTCCTGCTATGGAATTTTTTTCTTAGATTTCTGAAGGAAAATGAAGCTGAAGAGATAGGTTTCTGTTGTGTTTTGTGAATCAAAGGAGAATTAAATGGCTGAGATTTTGTAATGGGTTTTCAGGAACTTTCTACCCAGTTCACCGTTGATGAGGAGGTACTCCATTTCGGCTTCATTCGTTCTTCCACTGCCCAAACACTCCATGGCCTCCAAGGTTCAGCGGTTGAGGGATAAAGTCAAGGTAATTTGTTTTCATTTCCATGTGTAACTATACCGTAGCATCTCTAGTGGTTCCTGCTTCAGTGCCACGTTCATAACGGCGACATTCTGGATCTTGTTTCTGCAATTGCTTTGTGGTTTAAGACTTTACTATGTATCAAACATGCCTCAAGGTGCATCATGTGTTAACGCTAGTTGATTTTTACATAGTGAATACGAACGCGTTGAGCAACTTGTATTGATAATAGTGCTTGTTGATTCGGTGGTCGATGGAAGGGGCAAAATACGTTCTTCATCCACTGTTCTTGGTTTTTTTTATTTGAGAAGTTAAAAATTTTAATTTTTGAAAAAAAGTCAAATTTTAGCTTTTTTATTAACTTCTGTTTTTTTAAAAACTATTTTTCAAACAACTAAAAAAGTTTAGAAGCATTTTTTTCACAAAAAAAACAGCTTTTAGGAATGGAAAAGCTCATCAAAACAAATTGTTAATCAGTGATTTTAAGGATAGATATTATCATAGTACGATATTCTTATTACTAACTATTTCTACTACCAATCTATTATCGCTTTAATTATAGTTGGATTTCACTTTTTAGCCAACAATTTATACAAAATTTATGAAGAGAGAACAAAAAAGTTTTTTTTTTTATAAAAAAAGTTTTTAATATACTCTCCGAAATACATAGTTACATTAAAGTGATAATGAATTAATAGTAAAAATATCTTACCTCTTATTATTTTTTCAAGTTTGTATTGTTAATAAAAAGCATGATTAATATTTAATTAACATAAAATTATTTTTTATCAAATTATTTTGACGGGTATTTTGTGAAGTTGCCACTTGCCACTTTAGAAGTTCAAAAATACATATGTTCAAATTTCATATTCGAAATTGAAAATTTAAGTTTAAATTACTAAGTTACACATCTATATATATTATACTATTATTTAGAGCCATTCTATGAAAGGTTTTGCCACGTGCAATCCATACAATAATTTAGATTCTTTTGAAAAGTGTAAATTTTTCATCTTAAGCAAGTTTTTAAAAATAAATTAAATTATATGCATTATGGGTCAAGCTTGACTTGATACATGGTGCAACCTAATCTATACTATATTATAATTTAGAGTTATTATCATAAAAAATTTGCCACATTAAATTCTTACAATAACTTGGATTCTTTTGAAAAATGTAAACTTTGTATCTTAAGGAAGTTTCTAAAAAAATTTAAATTACACGCATCATGGGCCAAGATTGACTTGATCCATCATGAAACTTAAAATATTAAATTAATAAAATATTCTGACTACAGAAATTCAAATTTAGTTATGAATATATTTAATTTAAAATTTAAAATTTAAAATTCAAAATTTAAATTACTAAGTTACGCATCTATCTATACTATATTCTTCTCATCCATCAATATTCTTCTAACCCTTCAGGTGTGAAAAACAAATTAAAATGATGTATACAAACCTTGAGTGGCCTAACTTGATTTGTCTCAATGTCGTATTCCATGGAATGAGCAGCACAATCAAATTGGTCATTTTGATTGGCATCTTTGTACGGAAGGCATGGCACCCCATCATGTAATTTGAGCCTCGAGTTACGGTAAATTTTGGAATCAAAGACGATTATCTTTTTTGTTGGCAACAAATTGATATGCATGGCTGATACACCTGAGTTCTCAGAAATCAGCTCCCAATGCCCAAAAGATACCATATTGAAATCACCCTTGTTTTCTTCCCCTCCTCCAATAACCTGATCTTTATCATTTTGACCAGGAAAATTGTTATTATCATCCGAGAGGGTTCTTGCGTGAAAGGTAAGGGAGGGAGGTGTGGGATTGGAAGGTGTTTGTGGCGTCTGTGTTTGGCATTCACAATTCTGTTGAAGGTTTTTCAAGGTGCAATTCATACAATAATTTGGGTTCTTTTGAAAAGTTTAAAATTTTCATCTTAAACAAGCTTCTTTTTTTTAAATAAATTATATGCATCATGAGCCAAGTGAGACTTGATCCATGGTACATACAACCTAATCTATACTATATTGTAATTTAGAGTCATTATGTGAAAAAAATTTGCCATGTATAATTCTTGCAATAATTTGGATTATTTTTAAAGGAGAAGGATATTGTAACAACCAAGTTGTGTTACTACCATGTTACTACCAATCAATCTCATCGTTA